CAACTCACTTGCCAAGAGACAAACATACGGCAACGCATTAACATTCTCTCTCTTTCTCTCTCTTTCTATCTTTTTCTCGAGAATACACTCTGAATGGTCTTCAAACTCTTTGCGACTACGTAGTTTGCAGTAATTTTCGTTCGACAAGTCGAGGTGACAATGAACGTAGTTTTGCAGCTTTTAAAACAGGTTCACGTTGATAAACTTATAAATGGCAACAAGAATCGCAAGAACAACTGCACGATTCGAAGCTATATTCGTTTGCAATGCGAATTCCCAAAAGAAAATCTTTAAAGGCGTGCTCGGCATTATTATTATCTAATGCGCGCGCAAAATGTCAGAGACAAGCTTTCCCCAAGTACACACGTAGCAGCGTGTGTCGAACATCGCGCGATACAATGCGAACGTGCAGCTGTTTAATAATTCAGCTGACGATATACGCTGCGACGAGAAAAAAACACCTTTGCAATGACGCGTGTTGTTTTCGTTTGTTTTTTTCTTTTGCTTTATTGGGTTGCAACACTGATCGATTCTGAATCCATACTTCTTCTTTGCAAATTCAGCTTTAGATTTGCGAGGGTGATTCCGCGCGGCTAATGCAAACGAATCACTCTCTCGCCCGCCGAAATTATGAAATATACTGCTCCGGGTATGTTCGCCACGCCGTGGATTTACGATAACTGCTATATTAGTTTTTAGTCGTCGACGTAGCAATATATCGCGTGCTATTAATAGAACAATTTGTCAGCTGTACCTAAAACTATGTCGCCCGTTCGTTCGGCTCGTCGAACAGAAGAAAAACGTCGTTTTACCTTTATTGCCCAACAAATATTGCAACGTTACGCGTGAAATTAATGTGCGCGCACGTACGGGCGTGACGCGCGCGAGGAAAAAAGTATATTTTTTTCTTTTCGGAAAAAAAAAAGATTTCAGCGGCCACGCGTATGAATAATTAACAATTATCGATTTTCGACAATAACAATTATCCCACTGAGTCAGAGTCGATTGCATTGGTGTTTAATCAGCCCAGGCGCGCAAATTATGTTTACGTCTGACGCATCACAGAGCCGCGTCTGTGCTTACACGCGTCAAAAAAAAAAAAAAAAGGAGAAAAAGAGAGTATACTATTCTTCTCTCTTTGAAACATGAGCAATTTCCTGGTTTGTTGAACCCTCTTGTTCAATTAATCATCGTATCTGTCGAATTGTTCCGCAGCGTGTTTGTTTCCAAAACACGCGTTTTCCTTTTTCGGAGAATGGAAAATTTGTGTGAAATGTTACGTAAAAAGAAGGAAGACTCGTTTAAAAGATGTTATCTGTGGTCACAGTGGCTGTCAATTAAAAAAAGGCTCGTGAAAATATTCCTTCAATTAGCTGCGATTATTCGGCTTTGACTCGTTTTCATTCGGGCGAACGTTTACAGCCTGATTTTTTTCTTCCATCCGCGAGCGACGTTTCGTATTCGTGTATGTCCTGAATTTGTGACGTAATTGGTGACTAAAAGTATCGCTGAACGTAAAGTTATTAAGAGAAAAGTAGGCCGAATTCGCTATCAACATAAGCTCGTTCCTTTTAGTGACTTATCGTTACGTCCATCCACGAAAAAGCAGCATTCAATTGATGAAAAGCGCGATCCAACGGTCCATTCGTAGTGTTTTACACTTGACAGTGTATACGCTTAGCGCCCGTCAATTGTACATTCAGACGTTTAAAAGATTCAAGCGGTCACTCAATTCGCACAATTTTACCATTGTTTGCCAGAAGCAACAATGAACCTTTGGCTGTTGCAGGTAGTCGAGCGACAGTATGGTGTCGAACAACAGCGTGGACAACAGGCTGGGCTCGGGAGACGGTGGCATCGGAGGTGGTGGCGGAGGAGGACCACCACCTGCCAACACTACCATCACTAGTCCAGCCGTGTACACCGTACCGCTGAGTAATTCTGGCTACCGCAACAAAGGTTACAAAGAGGACAACAGCGATGGTCTGCCACCGGATCCTCAGAAGCCACCTCAAATCCCCGACGACGACGGCCAGTCTCGCAAGTTCAAGCTGTCGCGCAGCGAGAAGTGGCGCATCCTTAAGAACATCGGCACCGTAAGCGTCGCGTTCATGGTGCAGTTCACGGCGTTCCAAGGCACAGCCAACCTGCAGTCGTCGATCAACGCCAGCGAGGGTCTCGGCACTGTGTCACTGTCGGCGATTTACGCCGCGCTCGTACTGAGCTGCATCTTTGTGCCGACGTTCCTTATCAAGAGGCTGACCGTCAAGTGGACCCTGTGCTTATCAATGCTTTGCTACGCGCCTTACATCGGAGCGCAGTTTTATCCCAGGTTTTATACCCTCGTGCCAGCTGGCATTTTACTTGGTCTCGGTGCTGCGCCCATGTGGGCCGCTAAAGCTACGTACCTCACGCAAGTCGGTGGGGTTTATGCGAAGCTTACCGATGAACCGGCTGACGCTATTGTCGTGCGATTCTTCGGATTCTTCTTCCTGGCCTGGCAGACTGCTGAGTTATGGGGAAATCTCATATCGTCACTTGGTGAGTTTCAGCTCGGTACAAATACCTTTGCTACGCTCGTTCTGACTCTCTTCGATCACTCAAATTAATAATTAGATAACGTTGATCCAAATCGATTTTTTACCGTGCGATTGTTAGATACGTCAATGCTCGTTTCTAAGTATAGAACGCACGAACGATGGCACGTGCGCGTGACAAAGTACAAAGTCAATATCGATTCGATTTTTACTTCATTCAATTGTCTTAGCGGAAAGTTGGAATTATACTAACAAGTTCAACTAGAATTTTTAAGTTTTGTAAAAGACGTCATAAGGCAATTCTCTGTGACAATCAGTAATAAAATTTTCGTTATTCGTGAGATTGTAAAATCGATAGAAAGAATAACAGACGACCAAGTGTGTTTAAATTTTCACAAAAATTTTACCAAGTATAAATTTGCCTTCCGAATAACGTTCACTCGCTGCCCGATTCGAAAAAGGAATATTGTATCTTATGTTATTTTCAAAATACCATGTTAGGTACATCGGCACCTGAATGAAGTTTAGCAAACATCTAAAAATACCACTGCCAGACAAACAACATTCGTTGCTAAACTACGACTTACAATCGACTGGGCAAAAAAAAGCGCTCCTGCGAGACTAGATGATCGTTGCGAAAAATCCAAGCGGCGGCGGTGAACGACGACGTAGTACGTGCCAAGTGAAACGGCTCGACGTGCGGTCAGCCACGTATGCGTCGCGCGCGCGATTTTAGCGCTCCGGCTAATTTCGTGCCCGTGAAAAAACGACGTCTCTCTCGTTGTCTTTGGTAAACCCGCTCTAATTACCACTTCTCATCCAAATCGTCGAATTTTCGTTGATTGCTGCGTGCGGGTGCGTATCTCGCCGACTTTAAATCGGGGCCTAAAATCTTGAATTGAACTGGTTTCAACCGATTGTCCCCCTCCATATCGTATCGGGCATGTGGTCCATTCACGTGATTCAGTCGGAGCCGGGTCCCCACTTTTGCCGAGAGTGTGCACGTGCTGCTGTTTCTGCGGTGTTTTTGTTTGCGGGGCCCGTAGTATATTATAACGGTTATGCTCTTCATGAACTTATTTTCATATCTTACATCGAGGGACTTTTGCGTATTTCTTCTGACTTATTTCAGTTAACATTTAAATCAGTCGATGCAATTTGGTTTACAATTGTTTTATTTAATTTCACTGAGACAGGGTATTGATCAATAGGCTTTTCTCTCTGAAAATACACGTTTTATTTTTAGCAGTTATCGCTTAGAATATCGAACGATAAAAATACTCTATAGAAGCGGCAAATAAATAAAGTCTCCTATTTCCATATTCCCGGATTCGTATATGGACGGTGTAAACTGAAACGTATGAAAAGAAAAGAGACGAAAAAGATTGTTCAAGTTAAAAGTTTTATCGATCGTTAAAAGTTATTTTTGTCAGAATTATTAGACAGGAAATCGATTTGAGCCATTTTTTTTAACATTTGCTTAAATATTTTTTCCGAGTAAAATTCACACGAAAATGAAACGATCGTACAATTGGAATTTTAAACGGCTCTTTAGCCAATCTCAAGGTAAACATCTTTGAAATCGATCGATATAATCATATCGGGTTTTACCGCAACTTCATACTCTAATTATACTTTCCAATTGAACTCATAAAAAAAGTTATTGGAGTGGCTCGAGCACTTATCCACCTCAGCAGAGCCTCTTGACATGGAGACACTTTTCGAGGAAATCCATTTGTTCGGGGGCAGTGGCGGCACCACGCATGTAAAATACATGAGCAACGCGGGGCTTTCTATTTCCTTCTTTTTGGCTTGTTTGCCGAATGCAGCTTCGTTAAAAATGCTCTCCTATTTGCATCGACGTGCTGACTCGATGGGCTTTTTTTTCGCATATATCGAGGATCGGGCGTATTTTATTGCAACGGAGATTGTTTATCTTTCGTTTGCCGAGGAGATTGATCGATTGCTTTTCCTAGTTTCATTCGGCTCTTGATCGAATTGGAACAGTCTTGTTTTTTTTTCTTTTCAAACTGTGACTTTAATTATTATTGACGAAAAAAGTTATTTGTATAAAACAGAAATTTAATGGTATACAAACGATATTCGACACCCCATTCTCACTGATTTGTCAACGTCGCACATCGAACTTGAAAAAGCGCTGTATGTTTCCAACACATTCGAAAAACATTTGTATAAAGTAATGTTTTGTTGAATAAGGCTATTTATAAAAACATTGGTCGAACGAAAATGATCAACGAAAATGATCGAACAAATAAAGGCAACGACTTGCTCATTAATAATTGAGCCTTCTTTCTCAACCTATCGTCGCGGATAGAGTAATATCCATGCAAGTTTCGTCAAGCGGCATTTTCTCAGTCGACTGAAGGAAACAAAAGTAGCACGAACTAATTTTACTAGTTTCATAATGCGTTTCGACATTATCGCCGTGTACACGGAACTTGTCTAATCAACAAACATTAAAAAGACCAAGCGCTCGAACGATAACAAGAAAGAAAAGCGAAACGTACGTCTCGAACTACTAGCAAAAACTACGTGTTTTCCCCCCATCGCGCAAACAAAGTGCGATTGTGATAAAGTCGCTGTTGTTATGTCTGCGATAACGGAGGTCTCGTGAGCAGTTCCTCTACACTCACGACACACACACACACACACACACACACACACACACACACACACACACACACACACACACACACACACACACACACACACACACACACACACACACACACACACACACACACACACACACAGAGAGATTCGTTCATTATTCTGAATTGAACGTATATCTGCGGAATTCGCGTTAGGAATTGTTAACGAGTGAAATTTCTTTCGTTTTTTCGGAAAATCCTCGGTAATTATGTTGGCAATTACAACAATTACACTTCGTAGCTTAATTTAACCGTGATCAATGGTGTATACTCAAGCAAATCGTTTGCTTTGTCTCGTTCGCGTAAAAAATGAGACAAATATTCCTAACTAATTGGTTGTGTGTATATACGTTATATGGTCAACAAGTGGACGCAGCTGCGATACAAGCACACACTTCAATCTTTGTATAATTACGGTTAATATTGAATCAGATGCTCTGTTTGACTAAATAAGCAAAGCTTTAATATATAAATAAACGCGTAAGAAACATAAAAATTATTGTAAAGAAAGTATATTTTTTATTTAATTATCACCAAAATTATTAAGAACGTCGATACAAAGATATTGAAAAATGATTACATGAATAACCACCACAATGAACGATATAATTTGCTCGCTTATCAATCCGACAATGTTTACAAACAGGTTACGACGCAGTCGTCAATCCAAGTAGTCGAATAAAATTTTCGTAGAAATATCTCTGTCGTGCGCGGGTGAAAGTTGAACCGCGACGTTAAAAACTGAAGATTCCCAGAGTCGAAGGCTATAAATGAGCACCGAATCGTCCTCTTGTAAATCACCTTATAACTTCCCAAGGTGCTCGTGGTATCAAGTGCGAAAGTTGCGTCACTCCACCTCTTCTTTTTCTTTTTCTTCTTCTTATTCGTCATAAATTTAGCTCGTTTCATTTCGACATTGAATTTTTTAATCGATCTCACTCTGTCGTACGGTGCCTAAATCACAGCATCAGCTTAACTCTTCGGATTCAGGTTAACGGCATTAACATAAATTATTGAGCGGAAATTTCGCGCAAGTTAATGGAATTATTCCAAGAGCGGCGTGCCGAAAAATGAAAGCCATACATATCGAAGATGTTAGAAAAATGTATGGTCGTGATGTATCATTGGCCGAAGTGAACTGGGCGATCCTTTGACAGACGGAATTCGAGGCATGCACACAGATTTAAAATGATCGCGCGCCAGTGCTTCGTTCTCCGACATGATTGAGCGCTCCCGCCTCGTCGTTTTGTGCTGTTGGTGTGCAATTAACGAGCTTCGAAATTCGAACGCAGGACAATCAATTGTTCAAAAAACAACTGTTTTCAGTGTTGAGCGGTGATGCGCATGGTGGTGGATCATCGCCGAGTATTAACGGCAGCCTAATTGCCGGACCAGTCAGAGAAGTGCAGAAGTGCGGCGCTCAATTCTGCATCCAAGGTGGCACTCATGAGAATCTCAATAGGCCGCCTGATTCGGAGATTTACGAAATCTCGAGCATCTACCTCACCTGCGTGATGGTCGCGGTGCTCATCGTTGCGCTTTTCGTTGATCCGTTATCAAGGTAAGTTTTCGAATAAATTAACGAGAGGCGAAACTTCGGACTGATTGACGTACTGTCTCGCGACTAGCAATGATTTTGACAGCGCGCGCAGGAGGCTTCGTTCTTATTCCATTCATTCTTTGACAACGTCCGTGAGCGAAAATGATATTTCAGTCACGTTGCAGAATGTTATACAAAAGAACTTGCCGCGACACGCACACTTTGAAAAGTTGAAATATACATTGTCAACTTCCATCGATTGGCAGTTTCCAAACAACGTCGTTGTAACGAATTCGTTGAAATTGTCAACAATCGCCTTGACCGTTCACTCTACAATTGAAACAATGATGAAAAGGCCGTCGGAGGAAGAAGAACACAATCGAGCTTTTTACGCAACGCGAAAAAATTCTCCCGGGAAATCCTTGCATAATGAGAACCATAATATAATAATCAGCCTAATTCACCACCAGTTTAATCCGACCGACCACCGACGTCTTGTATAACGAGGCTTTCCTCTGTACTTTGTAGAAGAAAAAATTGGCTACCAATTCGTGATGCAATCTTCATCGTTTAATGCCCACTTAGCCGAATTACAACCTGGCGACTAATGAGCGACTCGTAAAATCGTCGAACCTTCCGGAATGTAATAACGGCGACTTTACATCTCTCCCTCTCTCTCTCTCTCTCTCTCTCTCTCTCTCTCTCTCTCTCTCTCCTCTCTCTCTCTCTCTCTCTCTCTCTCTCTCTCTCTCTCTCTCCTCTCTGTCTGTCTCTTTCTCTTTTATGTTTGCATCTTGTGGGCTTCTTTAACTTTACGACGATGCCGCGTGTTTGTTAAATTTTTATTGATGGATACTTCAATGCTCTGTTAAAATTAAAAGTGTGCTTAGGTATTTACTGCAACTTATTTAGATATTCGACGTATTTGCTGTTCTACACAATATTATTGTCCTGTTTATTTGGGTATCAGCGTTTATGTATCAAAATTTAAATAATTTGAATAATTTAAAAACAATCAATCATTAATAATAAAATATAAAAAAAGTCAAATTGGTATTGATTATTTCGATACTCAATTATTTCAGTGAACTGAAAAAATTTCCGGTTGTTTCACGTTTCTTTTAGAACGTGTAAAAAACATTTAACGACGATAATTCATAAATGTCAAAATGAACCAATAAGTAAAAACACAACCAATTTTTTACAATATTTTTTCGATCTTGATGTTCATTTTTTGTAAACACAAACTTAAATTTATCCAAGAAAAGATGTTATCAGTTTGAACTAAAAAAAAAAGAATCTTCAAGGCGTATAATTTCAACCAGCACTTAAATAAACACGTACAAAATAAACTTGACACTTGAAATAAAAAAAGAATCGTCGTTAATTTGACGACTCTTTGTCTAACTCCCATTCTCAGAGTAAATTAGTTCCTTGAGCAAAAGAAAAAAGAATTATCAGCGCGGCTATAGTTTTCTTTTAATTTTTCTTTTCGTCACGACGCACGTAAAAGAAGGAAGAGCGCCAGTTTATGTTTTTTCTTTTCAAGATCCTATTTGGCTTATCAAGTGCAGGGATCATCCGGTTAGTCGTTTACTCGTCGCGTAATAATTCACCGACGCTTTTCCGGCGAAACCTTCGCGTACGGCACACTATTATTTATCGTCTCTATGACAAGCAGTCTGATTCGCAATTTTTTCCTGTCGCGGGTACTTCGAGTTTCATTGATATAATTTACGATTTTTCACACCCTTGTCGTACTCGTCCGATTATAATATATAGTCTGACCAAATCTTCGCCACGTGCAATAGACGTATGAAATTAATTTTGTCGATAAATAACGTGTTACACGTGCTCTCCTAATTGCTTAATTAAAAATGAAGGCAAGACAAATATTAATTGGCATATACATGTCCAAATGGAGTTTTGAATAAGTTACAGTTTGCAATTATACGTATACTTTACGATTATTGACTCTCTTTTCGCCGACCAAATTAACGGGTGAACTTGACACAAAACTCTAAATACGAACCTTCGAGAAAAAGAAAAAAAAAAGAATGCCGGTTTTCAATAAATTAAGCGAGCGAGGGAATTGAGATAGTTACTCCGAAAACGATTTTAATCGGCACTACACGTGAGTGAGAGATACGTAAACGAAGCGATGACTCAATGCTCGATGGTACCGATGTCTCCAGCTTGAAAGGAGCCGATGTTTCTTGCAAACGGATCATTTCATACGCCAAAAGGACAATGCAATTGATTCGTGAATTTTGGAATCATTACGAAACGATAATAAATGATAAAGCTCTCGCGTTTCCTCTATACGCGAACACCTTGGCCACAGCAGTAGCAGCAGCTCATAAACATACGTGATTGCAAAATAGCGTACATCCGCGCTCGCGGTAGCTTGGCGTTATTGCGCAATCATACACACACACACACACACATCTCCCAAAGCGTGTTTTGAAAACTTTTTTTCTCTCGCGTTTCTTTTATACAGGAAATTCGCGTGATGCTTTGTTATTTTTTTCTTTTTTTTTTTTACTTTTTTGCGTACGTCTGCTGATGGTACGCCCGATACATCGGAAAACTTTTTTCGGCGCCCGCGCGCATTCTCCGTCATGCTGGAATTCGAGCGGAACAAATGTCAGAAATGCCGTTCGCAAAAGAGTTACTCTTTGACCTTATTGTAAAGGTTTCACGGGCCTATTTCAAAGTATAATGTTCTCTCGTTATGCAAAATGAATATCTCTCGAATCTCAATCATTAGAAAAAATATAAGAAGAAGAAGAAGAAAACTGAAATAACTATTGACAAACTGACAATGGAAAAAATATCAGCGTTCCCCGGCGTCGCTTGTACAAGAAGCAGAACGAAATCGTGAAAAAGTAACAGCACAAGCGGGCGTAACCTGCGCAAAGAAATACTCAGGTTAGCAATCGAATGACTCGATAAATACGCGCAGTTTATTGTTCGCGATAATAATGCATCGAAGTGCCCGGCAAATGCAGTCCATTGCGCAGATAATGCACGTTTTTTTTTGGCCTGAAAATTATTCAGATTTACCTTTATATGCGGCTTTTAAAGCTTCTCTATCTCTCTCTCTCTCTCTTTTGCTCCCGGGGAGTAGGGATTAAGTGATCATTAAAATTGTGATGATTATATCGATTTTCTTATCTAGTTTCAACTGGTACTCGTTGCGCCGTATTTTATCTTGCCATCTATTGTCGTTTCTCTTCGCTGCCATTATTTTTTTTCCATCGCGCTGATGGTTACTGTGATACTGCTATTAATTTGGGATTTTTCCATGGAATAATTGTGACGTAAATTGTCTTGAATAATGCTTGAATCGGTTGATCACGTTTGATTAAAACTTAAAGGTGAATGATCGCAAGAATAAAATGAACTTTACGACAAGATGATTTTCTGACAGTCATAATTCATTTAAAAAGAACTATATCAAGATTCATCTTCGCTGGAAGCGGACTATAATTTGCCCCGAAATCCGCATTCATATTTTATTCTTAGAAAATGTATTTAATACACATCTGACAAATTATTCGAATTCATCCCAGTGCTAATAATACATCTTGCTTTATGACGGCCGGATTAATTATCATTTTACCGCCCCAATCGCAATGCAGCTGAAAAAGAAACTCATCCGTCAAAAGTAGTAGGCCAAGGCATCACGAGATAACTCCCCCCTTTTTTTTCTTATTTGCCCGTTCGTAATAACTTCCGCGAGAAAAGACGTGCAAATGTTATAGCAATCGTCGTTCGCTCTTCACTCTATTTAGAAGGGAATTGCATAAAAGATGTATAGCATTTTAATTGATTGATCTCGTCTAGGCGCCAGCGTCAATTTCGCGATATTTATAGAAAGTTTGCTGCATCCTTTCGCGACGACTTTTCATACTAATTATAACGTGATGTGACGCTACGAGATACAAGCCTGTAAAAACTATTTTTAAAACCAACACGTGTATATATATATATATATGATGCCAGATAGCAGATCTTTTTAAGCTGCAACTTAAAAACTTTACGAGCTACAACGTTCTGCAAAAATAAAGCATATCACTCTCCCTCTGAAAGGAAAAAGATTGCAATCATTCGAAAAAAAAAAAAGAAAAAGATTGTCTTGTTCTAGATTAGAAAACAATATACGTGGAATGAGGTTAAGGTTGCGCACATATGTGCATACGCGCATGTGCATTAAAGAAAATAACGATCCAAGAAAGTATTAATATACGCATCCACGCGCAATCTTTTCTTTGCTTCTCAAAGACGTTCCGTTTATTGAGGAAGAAATAAACATCACTGACGCTCGAGCTTTCAAAACGTCGCGATAATCGATGAATTATTATTATGTATACCGTTCCGCTTGGCGCGATTATGTTTCAACGACGAAGCGCCGTATTTCGCGCAACCGTGGTATTATACCTTTGCACGCTGAAGAGATGCCTCGATAAAGGGGGATCCGATTCGCAAATTAAAGTGCAAACGCGTGCGTTACGTAAGAGTGGTTTTTTTCTCTCCTACTTCGCGCGTCGGAGAGCAGCTTCCACGCGCGCGTAAAGAGCTTGCGGGTAAAGAAGCGAACAGCCGATGCGATCTGTTGTCGCGCGGGGTGATCGAGAGACTAGCTCTCGCTTAGTTCAGTCGCTAGTCTCTCTCCTCTCTTTTGCTCGCGATGATTAACTCCAACGCTCATTATACTCCCCGCGAGTGCAATTATCGCGCGGAGCCCATCGAGCGGGGAAACTAATTTGCGCGATGGATTTTCATGAAAACCCGTCGCGCGTCGGTACGCCCAAACGATCGTACCGGAACATGAGCGGGCAGGCGAGAGAGATCCTTGATACGGAGGCGAGATGTGCCTGTCTAACTTCCCATGCGTCCGTGTAATTCGCGCTGCACATTACGCAAGTCGGTTTCGTGCTCGCGCGCGCGTATAAAGTCAAGGTCGCGCACCTCTCGCCGCTCAACGGTGCGCGTGCGCTTCATGCCGCACGCTATTATTACAGTCGATGCTAATCGCTTTGCCTCTCTCTCTCTCTCTCTCTCTCTCTCTCTCTCTCTCTCTCTCTCTCTCTCTCTCTCTCTCTCTCTCTCTCTCTCTCTCTCTCTCTCTCTCTCTCTCTCTCTCTCTCTCTCTCTCTCTCTCTTTCTTTCCTTTTTGCCATGCGCTGCACGTGTAAGACTGCACGCTTACGAATATCCCATTGCACCAGATCGTAAGTTCGTTTTCTGCAGTGGATCTTTTGACAGGCGAAACATCTCCGAAACTTTCCAAATAAGGAAAACGTGTCGGGTGGAGCTGCACGACCGAACCGATTTGTCGCAGCCTCTGAATGTCCGTTTGCACGCGTCCAGTCAACAATCGGTCGTGAAATTGTCGCAGAAGGTCCTGCGTACAATTCACGGCCATCTCGTCGCTGCCTCGGTAAGCTCGTCGCGTAAAAGCACAGTGTAGGATCGTGGCGGCGCGTCGCACAATGACAGATTACATAATTGTTCTGTCGGCTTCGCGAAGAGCAGGAGAGAGAGAGAGAGAGAGAGATAGAGAGATAGAGAGATAGAGAGAAAGAGAGAAACAAACACGGCAATTACAGAGGTCGTGCGAGAGCGTAAAACAAGCAGAAGAATACAGGAGGCTAATTTATTATGCACAGCATCCTAAGAGTATGCCGACAATGCTTAAGACATTGCACTTATCTTACGACACGAGGCGGCCTTGCAAGGCTGCCAGTCTATGTTCTCTCTAGATTTTGGCTCCTCTTCGAAAGCACGTATTCGCTCGAACTGGAAATGTATTTATCCGCAAGTGCACTTTTCAATCCTCTCTAGCTGCCGTTATGAGTAGTCCATTACAAGTTGAAGTGTACGCGTACTTGAAAGGTTTTGACCAAGATTTTAATGGAGTTGGATTCCAGAGTTTTCAAGGGTGCTCGAAAAGTCCCGATTTTTCAGACAGAGAGAGAGAGAGAGAGAGAGAGAGAGAGAGAGTGTACGGATATATACGAAAGAATTTGATGATGACGGCTTGTGCACAATAGATTGGATTCTCTTCACGAAAGAGCTTCCGATGGATTTTTTGTCAAGCAGTCATTGAGCCGTTGCTTTCAATTTGTTTCGCAATCGCTTGATATTCCCGGCAATGAACCTGTCAGAGAGAAGCCGAACGTGTTTTGTGGAATGCCGTCGCGGCAATTTATTTAGCGCCACTTCATTGTTATCGACACTCGCGCACTGCGCCTCAGGCCGTTCGTTAGCTTACACGTCAGATGGGCTTTGTGCACAATTCCGTTGCGGCGAATGGTTATATAACTTTTCAGCCTTTTCACTCGACCAAAAGACAGAAGGAGAGAGAGGGTGTAAATTTGTTAACCTTCTCGAATGCGAAATTCTACATAGACTGAGAGATGATAAATGTTAAAGAATTTCAAAAATTGACATAATTATCGCGATAGACGTTAAACGTGAAAATTCGTTGTAACGCGCTTTGCCTTTCAACGAGATATTGCATTACAATTACTATTCATGAACAATAATTCGCTCATTTCTTTGTCGTGCGAGTATGAAATTATACCTGTTCCGAAATTTCGACTAATTTGAGAAATTTGATTTGTTCGCCTACAACTCATTTTCGAGAAAATTGACAAATTGGATTTTCGTTTTTCTGAACATATTCCTTGTCTTCTCAGCAGGTCAATTACGCAGCTTTGAGAGCGCCAGTAAATCTCAACGTGATACCCTTGAACCTGTCCGCTCGCAAATTTACCGTAAATTCGTGTCGCTCTTCCCCCTTACAACTAAGATACAGACCAACAGCAGCAACCAATTGCACGCGAATATTTCGTCGTTTTATTTCCAGGATCGGAGGTACTTCTTATGCAAATTTATCAAGGGTTTCGCTCTTGAAATACTATCAAAAGTTCTCTCGCTGCGTGAATTATTGCAATGGCTTTTGACTCTTCTTTTTTTTTTTCTTCAATGTTTGTGAATGCGACGATATCAATTTTTTTTTATTTCAAGATGCGATCGGAGAAAGAATGGTCGTTGGTTCTTTATAGCTCTAACAGTGCGAGATTCTTAATTAAAAGGAGATTGCTTTTTCTTGTGTTTTTACTCCTCAGCGATTTTAATTACGAAGAGCATGAGGCACTATTGCGAGAAGGGGTTTTGTCCTTAATTCACTGAAATAGCTTACTTTCTTTCGATCAAACTTTTATTTTTGTTAAGAAAGGAGTATTCGCTTTATATTCTTTTTGAATATTCAGCTGCTAATGGTTATTGAATACCTACTCCTGAAGATATCCATGTTGCTTTATAGTATCGAAAGATAAATAAGTTAGACGGCAGTACTAAAATATTTGATTGCCATTAGTCGATATTATTTCGACAAGACAATTAATATAGCGCTGACGAGAGGGATTCCGATTGTTTTGCTTAGGTACGGCGAGAAGCAGAGGCGGAACGACAGCTCGGAGCTGGGTGGCATCCAGCTGCTGTCGGCGACGGCATACCAACTGAAGAAGCCCTACCAGCAGCTGCTCATACCCATCACCGTGTGGATCGGCATGGAGCAGGCCTTCATCGGCGCCGAGTTTACGCAGGTAACGACTTGGAGCGCGGAGGCGTCGTCGGCCGCTCGAAACAATTATTAATACCCCTTGGAATGCGCGTCGGCCCTCGAAATTAACCAGAACTCCGCCGGATACTCAAAATTCGTAGTAAACAGCACGCGCAGGCTCCCCATTGATACGTGATATCCGTGATAATACGCAGATTGAAATATCGCGCCTTCGATTAATATTCATGGGCTCGGGCACTGTCGGCGAAATTAGCATTGAAAGCTCGCCTTTGGGTACCGGCCGCGCCAAAAATTATTGTATCGGGTGGGCGAATGCAAGCGCGATCGCCGTTCAAAGTATGCCCGCAGTGCCGAGGATTCGCATTTGAAATGTAAATTAATCCGACGGGCAAAGGCTTTCCATGGTGCTCGATAAGAGACGTTCTTTGGCGCGCTCATTTGCCGATTCGCCCTCTTTCCATTCTGCTCGTCGCACTTATCTCTCGAGCGTGCTGCGTTTTTACTCCCCGAGCGCAAATGATAAATGTAAATCATAATCGTCGTTGCGAAACGAGAAACAGCCCGTTCAATCGCAGAAACAATACCACCGGCGGAATATTAGGGAGAAAAAAAAGAGTAGCATCCTTCCAGCGGCATATGGTCATTTTCTCTTTCTCCCCGCTCGCAGTAGTCCATCGGCATATCTTCTGGAAAACGAAGAATCAAGCATCCAGGTGATTACCTGGAGATTCCCAGCAGTGATTGAAAAGCTCGACTTAATTGCGTTCTTCGAGCTTTTTCTCTCTCTCTCTCTCTCTCTCTCTCTCTCTCTCTCTCTCTCTCTCTCTCTCTCTCTCTCTCTCTCTCTTTCTTTATCTCTGCCGGTGTCTATTGTTCAGCTTCCGTAATGAAGATTTTCTTTTGTCTAATGAAGTCGCCGTTGATTTCGCGTTAGCGCTAAACTTTAATTGAAGCGCTGCATCTTGATTCGAACAAATTAACTTTGCAACTTCGCGTGCGAGAATTAGCAGTTCCATTAGACTTGTTAGTTTGTTATTCCCTCTCCTTAAGTGGCATCCATTTACATTTAAAACTGTTCTCGTGCACAAATCCAAATGATACGTGAATTCCCATCGCTAGGCGTTTCGTATTGACGATTAAATCTCGCGATTATCTATGGGAAGGACAGTTATTAGACCTCGTCGGGTGATTCCAAGTCGCGCGTACAACCAATCTTTTCGAATATATCTATGTTTATTCATAGCAAGGCATGTCATACGTACGCGGAAGAACTTTACAAATCTTTTTTCCTTTTTTTTTCTCTTGCGGCATCCGACTACACGTACGCGATTGCTGTCATTGCCGTTCGGCTTCCGTTCCTAACGCACGCTGGTTCGAAATAGTCGGACGATTGAACTTCCTGATGTTTTTGACGTCATTATGCCACGCGCACATAATTTTTTCTTGCCTTTATTAGATTCTCGCGAGCTATTAGACAACCGACGAGCATATGGCTACGAGCGCTTGTAATAATTAAATGTCGTCTTTTGGAATGGCTCAATATGAATTTATTACTGCGTGATTTCGAAATCTATCAAGTCAGAGATTTCCCCAACAAATCTCGTTGCATTCGAGAAGGCTTCAAATTTGGATGACAACTTGAAAAACGTCCGCTCGATAACGATCCACTTGAAGCCTGCCGCCACTAGATTCGATAACAATCATAATAAACAGAGCGAATGCGGGGCACACCCTCAACAATTCATTCCGATCACGAAACACTTTTACTTTCGTCGAACTCGTCTCAAGCAGAGAAATTTGTTCTTCGAGTAAAGTGTCCTTTTCTTGGATGTATCGAGAGTGAAGGCGCATCCGCTTGGATGGATAGGGTCGTAAAAACGAATCGCACGTACGGTTTCGAGCCGAGGAATTTCGGGACATCGTCACGTGCTTTGCCCTCTCGCAGAGAGCTTTCATTCAACTCCTTTGCCCCTCAAGAGCTTTTGTACGCTTCTTCTATCTTTATTAAAAATTTATGCTTACGTGAGCTTTCGCGGAATTGAGGCACTCGCCGTTATTTTCGAGAAATAACTTTAAAAAGAAAAAAAAACAAGCGATAGATGTTTAGTTCCGATCTCGCGTTGTTAAAGTTGCGCGTACTTTTGGAAAAGTGGTACTGGAGAGCTAAAGTTGCCGATGTATGGGGTTGATAAGAGTCGCGGTGTAGGCGCTCTTTTGTTCTCGCTCGGAAATGAAATCACAATAGCTTTCGAGTTAAAGTGAAACGAGGCTCCACCATTGCTGGAGATAATTACGCGACGGATTGTTAATCTCGATGACTTCCGACTGCGACGAGTATCTAAAAAGATTCTTCTCGTAATTACTTTCGATGTTTCGACGATACCCTCGCGCGATCACGTTCTGCAAAGGTTTAAACAAGTCAAAGTTTCGCGGAAAAACCCGTTGCGACGGTGATGAGCTGTCGTCCTCCGTGGATCGAATAAACGTATTTAAAGCATCGGATAAATTTCAAATAATACTTTTTTAACAAGCATCCATGACAGTCGGTAATCATAGTAATCTTTGATGATAACTCCTGAGAAACTTGCTGATTTTTTTCTCGAGAAACGACGAAGAAGCCCTGCACGTGCGCCAACGAATTATGTTATTGGGTACGTGATCGGAAAAAAATATGATGGATTGGAACCGCTTGCCATTGTTTACATGTAATGCCCTACTTGAAAGAGAACATTCGACTGTCGAGGAAAATGCCTTCAATTGCACAAAATAAGTTAGAAACGTTGTCGATACATCTTTAATATTAAACTATAAGGTAAATAAATTTTCGCGTCATTATAAATACGAACTGAATTGCTTTCGACGCCACAGCTACTTCGATATCAGCAAAAACTTGAAAATTTAACGAACCATCGATTCTCCAAACGTTGAACTCAAAACGAATTCCCGACAACATTTCAAGGTGAAAAACAGCGAGGAAGCACACACTTTGCTGTATCGCGTGCGAAACGCCTTCATCGATAGCGTCGGGGCGTCTCCTCTCATTTGAAAAAGTGCAGCCGTTCGCGCGAGCCAAAACTATATCCTAGCGAGTCATCGCTTGGGAGCGCCCGTCGTCGCTCTTAGCTTCCGAACCGATTGTTGTTGCTTCGCCTCTCTTTCGATGGTGGCTTGTCGCGATACCGGCGCACCTCGACACACCACGATTTATCGCTCGTTCTTGCACGCCTCGCAGTCTCTAGCCTCGTGGCTTTTTCGATCGCGCCCGCGACGTTCGTTTGCGAACGAACGGACGACCGTCCGCGGAAAACGACGAGTCGAAGCATCCTCGAAACATAAAAGCTCCGAAAGTCGATCCCGTTGATTGATCCGGCTCTCTCGTTTGCGAAGACGTGCACTTAGCTCTGGAAATTGAGCGCGTCTGCGAGAACGCGTGCTCCGGCGACGACGGGAACAGATCGTTTTCCATCGTTCGCGAGGAAACCGAAGACTCCCACGCGGCGAGTGCAGCACCGCGTGTATCGATCGTATAACTTTTCTGCGGTCGACTCGACGCGTCAAAGTGAATCTCTATTGCTCGACTGACGAATGGATATTCTATAAGCACGGAATTTCGGATACTTGTGCTCGATTCCATTTTTTTTTCTTCCCGCGCGACTCAAGGGATTTTCCGTCCGACAAGAGCGATGAAATTTCGTCGTAAGCAATCGGGACGTGGGATTACGGGAAGATGAAATTCCGATAGTTCGCGGAGATAAAAATGCGAGTGATGAACTGGAAGGCAAAAGAAGAAACCTGGAGCGAGTTACGTAAAGAGCTCGGTTCGGCGCTCACGCATTCAATCAATTAACAGTCGCCAGTCGATACCTCGTCTATTTCTGATTCCTCGATTCCCGTCTGTTGTTGCTGCGCACGGGTGCGCTCGACCGAGTACGGGATCCGTTCCGAGCGGGTAAAAAACGCGTTCGCGGGGAAGACGACGGTGTCTTCGGGACAGAAACTCGAATGTCAGCCGGGCAAGAAACTTTAATGCCGGCTGCTTCGAGAAACGGATTTTCCTGCCGTTAAAACTAATAAAATCGCAGGAGAATAAAAAGACGTCGGCGCCGGAATGCGCCTGCAATTTTAGAAAGTGTAAATGGGCGTCAATGTGGAGCAGAGCACATCGACAGCGACGCCGATGATCGCTAATTGTAAGGTACGGAAATAGACGGATTTTCCAGGCGCCAGTCTAATCATTACACGCGACGCGTGCGCGTGCGAGAGAGAGCCGGCGTAATGACATGGAGTCGCTCGCTTTTCCAGGCTAATAATTTCTATTTATAGATTTTGCCATTTTTTTTTTCATTTACCGCCGCTCCGAAGATAACTGTTATTTTAAGAAAGCTGGTTTCCGTGGCGCCGCGAGCGCATCCTCCTTTGCTTGCTATTCTCGTGCAACTGAACTACTTAAAAATTACGTTTATGACGCTCAGACCGATGAGGCAGAGGCTATCTTTAGACTCGCGCACGCTTTCAAAGTTACAGGCTTCGCCCATGGCTTTTTGCCGTTCGATGGATTGACATTCCTTCGTATTTTTCTTTTCTTCCATGAAATTATTGTTTCTGGTGGATCATTTATCGAACGATCATTATTTTTACATAAACTGAATTCAAATAAAAAAAAAAAGAGAGAGAGAGAGGGAGAAATGGTAAAAATGAAAATTCAAAGTCCTGAAATGGAATTTTCAAAAGCGACATAATAGTCTGTACGCAGATGAGCATAAATATCACACGCGAGTCAAGGAACGACCTGCACGCGTTTATTTTTTATTTCGGTTTCTCTCTCTCTCTCTCTCTCTCTTTCTCACTCTCCGCGACCGGTTCTACATAACACTATACGCGAAAGAAGAAAAAAGCGTCGCCAGATGGATGATCGCAGTCGCGTGGATAAAAAAGTGGTCGAGAGTTCACTGGCTTCGCACACTCGCAGCGAAGAAACGAAAGAAGCAAGGAGGAAAAATGTTCGAGTTTCGCGCAACGCAGGAGTTTGCTTTGTAAAAAAAAAAAAAAAAAATCGTTGCGAGCGATCAGATATGGACTTTAGCTTTTCAGCCGGTGATCCAGACGCGTTTGCGCAACGAGTAATAAACTTGCAGGATACCGAAATCCGCGGTGAATTACTGAAACGGATTTAATGTACCGAATACTGCCACTTCGTTTCTCGTTTTTATGACTGGCTTGTATTTCATAGGGGATCGGACGAAGGGGAATTTTTCTATTGGTGTGTTGCTGTAATAACGAAAAACGAATCCTCTATTTTGTTCTTTTCCGGCGCTACCGCCGAAAAAAAAGCAAAATTGTCACAAACGAGGCGTTTTACCCCTTTGAGAAAAAGTAGGTGGTACAGGGCCGCGTGCATGCGCGACGTATATCGCGACGAGGGACAAAATAATAAAAGCCAACGGAACAAAAGGGTCGGTCGACGGGATAATTGGCCGGCGGGCGAATTTTGACCGTAGCCCTTTGCGCATGCAAAGCAGCGCGCGTGCTTTGCCTCTTTCCCCGAGTGCGAATGAGTCTCCTAGTTATTTCAATTTTTTTTCTTTCTTGCGTGTAATTATTGTCGCGCGATTCGCAGCTTATTCTAACTTGTGACACGGGGTCAAGTCCGCGCGACCCTTAGACCGTCGTCCTCGCTGATATTCTCGTTTTGAGACTGGCTTCGATTGGTGAATAACCCGATCGAGAGACGTTGAGCGGCGCGCGAGCGGGCGGCTAATTAGCTCGTTCCGACATCGAGTGACAAGTGCCCCGTTTCGCGCGAGGCCAGCGTCGCGTCGGGGAGGGTTTTATTCATCCGTCGCGTCGGTATATATATATATATATATATATATATATATATATATATTTTTTTTTGCCTTTTCATTCGTGCGCCAGCCCGGGCGAGCGAGATTCGTTCGCTGCAAAACCGATCGACTCTCCGCCGGCAAGCGGACGTGGCGGAAACGCTACTCGAGCGGAGACAATAATAAAGTCATTCCTTAACGAAGCTCTCTAGATAGGACGGCCTTGCCGACGCTAATTGCCGTACTCGCGCAACGTTCTTTTACACTTTTCCAATTGGCGAGGGCTTTAGAAAGCGGCGGAGTGCGCGCGCCTGTTTTGTACGCGGTGCGTCCTGTCGGGATGCGCGCTCGGCTAATTGAACGGCTTGTTCGCTCGTAGACGTTAGAGGCAAGGTCCCGACGACAATTAAATGTCAAAATTAGAGGATTATCGCTCGCTGATCGCGCGCGCGCACGGTTTGCCGGCTGCGTCGTGCCGTTACGTAAAAGGCCAAACCGATGAGCTCGCGACATTGATCTCGTTGGGCGCGCGACGCGTTATTAACCTACAAAGTTTGCCGGCGCGACTCCTCCCGCCTCACCCCATTCACATCGCTGTTCCCGTCTTTCGACCACGCCGTCCTCCCCGCGCGAATGCCCGAAACTTTCTACTTCGAAGCGAAGCGTTCACAACTTCCTCGGTCGTCCTGGCTGCCGCATTTGTGCTTTTCTCTTCCCGGACGCGCACCGCGCGCAATTTAACTTTTTTCGATCCGAGCGCGCAGGCGTTTTCGCCGCTGCGAGGAGAAGAGGTGCGACTTGATTACTCGTCGCTTTCTAATCGACGGCAGATTTTGTTTGGCCGCGACACGCGCGGAACTCGTTTGCCGAACACTCGGCCCGGCCACGCGAACTTTCAAATCGAACGACGCGTCGTTACGCTCGTCTCCTGAAAATTGAATGACTGCTGGTGGGATTGACCTTTTCTTTCCGTATATTCACCCGCGCGATATTAACGCTCGAGTAGATGTCGGCAGTAGAGAGGGGCACATCACCGAGCATTTTCCCGTGCTGTTTTCTCCGCGCTTGAGTAATTGGTTTTCGCGAATGGCCCCCAGATGGACGCGAGGTTCGCTTGCTCCTATCTAGCTCGTCCGCTCACGAGCTGTTCGACGCGAAGTGCAGACGGTCTTCGCGAAAGGAAAATCCTCCTCTCCGCCGAGCGGCATTTTCTAGTTGTTCGTTCATCGAGCGGCGCATTCGGGAGGTCGTGCGCGAGATTAGCGAGGCATCATTGGCGTACGCACCGCCGTTACGCCAATAACGCCGATGGAGTTTCCGCACACGCGCGCGCGCGGTTATGAAATTTGCCGAGACCGCCGAGTGTTCCGAAAGCCGCAAGCGTGGTTGCATTTAATTGCTTTTCCCGAGCGGCTAACTACTTTCGTTGCGACGAGAGGATCCGGGCGATGATTCATCTTTGCTTACGCGCGATCAGAAAACGAATAGCGTAATTGGGAACGTTACATTCGCGAGCTCTCGTGCGCCTCCCCCCGAGCCCTCCCGCCGCCCCCAAAATCCCATTTCCTCGGTGATCTTCCTGCGCGCAATAAACTTTACTACGCCCGCGGCATGAAATCTGTCGGTCCCGTCTGAAAAATATAACGAAACTACACCCGACGAGAGAAGTAACAAATGAAAAATTCCTTTTGGCCTTTCACTGGATTACGTCGTTGCGAGCGAATCGGACGTACGAAAAACCGCTGAGCGTGCGTATCGTCCAATTACGGCGCGGCGCTCGCTTGTTTCCACAGGCGAGCTTTGATCCTCGTACTGCTACAGCATCCCTCGACGTAACTTTCCGCGCGGTATTAATCAAGCGTAAAATGCAGCCTTCCTCTAACGAATGTCTGGCGTGCCCTTCTGCAGGCGTACATCTCGTGTGCGTTGGGGGTGCACAGGGTCGGCTACGTGATGATCTGCTTCGGCGTAGTGAACGCCGGCTGCTCGCTGCTGTTTGGCTCGGTGATGAAGTTCGTCGGCAGGCAACCGCTGATGGCACTCGGCACTGTCGTCCACACGTCCCTCATCGGTGTACTATTGATGTGGCACCCGCATCCCGACAACTCTTACATGTTCTACACTGTCTCCGGGCTCTGGGGTGTCGGCGACGCTGTCTGGCAGACTCAGGTCAACGGTAAGTACTTTGCCTCTTTTTATTCCGTTTGGATGCTGCATGTGCAACGTTATTTCGAAATATCAAATATCGCGTCGAGCTTCGCCGGTGGAATGCCAAGTAAAGTAAGAAAAAATGCGCCACGAATTTCCCTTTGTGCGTTTCGACTGCTACCGTCGGAGCGCGCCGTCCGTGAATTTCCCTTTGTGCGTTTCGACTCCTACCGTCGGAGCGCGCCGTCCGTCAAATCGCCAATCAAGGAAAACTGAAATCGGAATTTCACGGATTAATTAATTTATTTTACGTTGTCCTCTTTTGGAAACGCGATGCCCGAAAGAGATTTTTAATTGCCATTGTCAAAGGGGCTGGGCTCTCCGTGTAAAACCTCGAACGAAATATCATGCAACGAAGTAAATCCGCGCAATTAATTTCTCGGCGCAAGCGGCTGCGTATTGGATGCTCGCGGTAAAAGAGTGAAAGCAAAATGCAAAACCAGACGGAGATACACCCTGATAGCCGCGCCGCGCCGAGACGTCGGCAAGATTTTCACGTGCAGCGCGCGTCTGCTATACTCGCATCGAGGTCGGCATTTACGCACGTTAATTTTTCGCGACGCTCGGCGCCGCTGTTGGAGACCCATTTCGCAAGCCGGATTTCTTTTTGTGTCTGCCGCGGTGGACACAGGAATTTTCGACTGAAATGGTGAACAAAAACGTTGTTAAGTGAAGAGTTTCGGAGAATGCATTTTCTCTTTTTTTGCGGAGTTTTGACTGACGATACGCTCCAAATTATTTTAAAGTAAAGAATACTTTTTAATACTTTTGAGGTAATCATACTTTATAATGATTGATTTCAACTGAAGTTACTGTACTATCTTCCCTATTTATCTTGTTAACCCTTAAAAGGGCCTTACTCGTATAACATTTTAGCTTCTGCGAGAAACTGAGGAAGAAAAATATATACAAATAACTCTTCTGGTAACATTAATTGCCACGCCTTTTCCTTGAAAGAGCTCCATTCAAACTTCATCGCGTAACATTCAAATGCAAATATTCTTCTCCTGATACGCTTAGTGTTCTGTTTGAAAAAATAGGACTAATTTCTTAGCAACACGACGAAACTTTATATTAATGAGCCATTTAAAATAGAAAAGAAACTTACATTTGAACCCGTCTAAGTCGATTTGACTTTCACCTACCTTCACTAAGGATGAAAAATCTCTTGAAAATCCCCTTGTGTTAGCATTCATTCCTGGACAAAGGTATTCGCAAAAGTGCAGCTCAGAGTTGCATCCGACCGGCTTAGAAAAAAAGCTGTACTCGAGTAGAATTCCAAAGAGTAACTACAATGAAACTCAAGCTAAATACTTGATAAAGATAGCCTACTCCCTGAGAGCTGTAAACATTGATTCGCTGTGCCGTCAAAGAGGATTCAGCAAGCTGACGCGTGGAAAAAACTGACGGTGTAGTTTCAACGCAACACTGATTATAGTAACGAAAGATGCCTTTTTTCAAAAGAAAATCCGTCACATGTTTTTTGCCCGTTTGCTTGGCATATTTCTTTCTGTTACCCTTTGACACTCAACGTGAAACTTACGGTACTTTTGGAAGCTTGATTTTTAATTAAAAAAAAGTCCGTTTTAATGTTTCGAAACTCTTTTCTTTCTTCGTTTTACGTTTTAATTAACGACTTTGAAAGTCTCCTGTTTCCTCCGCGATGCAAGTTTTTAATTTCCGTCGGCCGCGTATTTTTCCAGTTATGCAATTTTCTGGAGGTTTAAAAATTAAATGGGCGAAAATTCGACGTAACAATGCGTGCAAAATTCGTTGGCGCGAACTCGAAAGCGCGTTACAAATGATTAATACATTGGATTTTGTCGAATAAAAGCCCATCAGGCGCACAACAATAAACGATTCCCGTGTGGCGGAATGAAACCGAAATACTGCACCTGCAGTCGTGCCAACTCTCGCAGCATGACAGTGCGAGAGAAATAATGAAGAAAAAGTCAATATCACGCTGACATTCCATGAAACGTAACTGTATAACTGGCACGCCTTAGCCGGTTTTGCACGTGCGCCGCCCCCGCCACGGATCGAATATTTCGAGAGAGCGAGAGATTATAAGCGATATTTGATCAAACCTCACTTTTTCGAGAGGTTATTACAATTTTCGCGTAGAATCACTGAGAAAGTCTTTGGCTTTCGTTTGTTCTGGCATAAATTGCACAGTAAAATTCAAGTTGCTAATTTCATTGTACGCGTAAAATTTCTAGGACAATCTTGAATGTTCCTTACGCGTATACATGCTTGACGAGCGAGAGGCAATATTTGCTATATTGACACGCGACATGTGCGCGGTGATACTGCGGAAAATAAGCTTGACCTACAATAACATATTTTTAAAAAAGTAATGGATATACCAATAGACTTTTAATGATCGAGAACTACTTTTGTTTATTATTATCTATTATTTTCTAACCGGAAAAAGTTTCTTTTGAAGAATGGATGAGATTGTGTATTCGATTAGTTTGTCGTTTACAAATTGAATAAGTTATAGTGCTTAAAAGAAAGAAAGTAATCGTGGCAATTTGCAGGACTGTACGGCACGCTGTTCCGTCGTAACAAGGAAGCAGCCTTCTCTAACTATCGCCTATGGGAGTCGGCTGGATTCGTAGTGGCCTACGCGTACAGTACTCATCTGTGCGCCAGAATGAAGCTGTACGTGATGCTGGTAGTGCTGATAGTCGGCACGATCGGCTACATTGTCGTGGAATTGCTGCACAGACGCAAGCAGAAGCGACTCAAAGCGCTGGCCGAAGATCCAAAGGCAGCGCAAGCGGCAGCCGAGGCGAACCAACCGGAAGAAACGGACGACGAGAAAGACGACATCGACGACGACATTATCATTACGCACCTGTGAGGAGGTGGCTTTCCCTTACGTGTTTGTTTGATTTGTCCTACTTTTTCTTGTACATAAATCCATCGCCTGTCGCGCGACTAGTTATCACTTTTAAACTTTGTCTTCGATTGATGGATTGATTGGGCCTGCACCGGAGGCTGTGAGAGTTGTTATACCGAAAGCATTGTTGATTTTTATTGCGAGCGAGTCGACGAAAGGGAGAAGAAGCAGTGCGTGCTTGAGCGCGGATTTTTAACGGCCGGACGATCTGTAGTTTATTTGATAATATATATAGCAATTGTACCTCGACCGAGAGAATATTTTTCCCCGAACACGCGAGGATGACAAGTATATATATATTTTAGAATTGAATCCGAGTTTCATCTTGACATATACTCGGCACGTTTTATAAGTAGACCATATAATATTACGCAAAAAAAAACAAAACAATGAAGTAACAAATAAAGTAGCTAGCACAAGTGTGATCTCACGTGGAAAAGTGAGCCTTGTCCATGATAAACAATCTCATCAACCTTTTATATACATTACATTTCAATTTTTCGAGTGAATATCGTCATTTATACACTATTATTTTTTTTTGTTCGTTTATTTGTGTTTTTGTCGCGCGCGCATCTTTGTACAGTACATCTTAAATATATAAATAGGCCGCCATCCCGGCTCTGATCTGTGCGCTTCACTATTCGAAGTTTAGATAGCATTCTCTTGCATTACATGCATATTTCTTATTTTGTTTCTTTTTCTTCCTCTCTTTTTTTCTTTGCATACGCGGTCGTATTATTAACTTCTAGTATTACATGCCTCTCGATAATTTTCTTCAGGCAATCAATAAGATTTGTCGCGATTGCGGACCATTATAGAAAAAAATGTACGTTGAGAGAGAGAGAGAGAGAGAGAGAGAGAGAGAGAGAGAGTGTATATGAGAGAGAGAGAGAGAGATTGTTTGACTATTTTTACTATTATACCACTACTATTGTATTCCTTAATTGGTAGTCGTACTCTGTTGCCTGTATTTTTTTGCCTCCGTTTGCGTTCTACCGAGAGATCTAAAATAGACCTATGCGATTTCATTGTTAATTATTTTAGTCGCGAAGTATTGTTATTATTATTATTATTATTATTATTATTATTATTATTGATTATTGATTATTGTAACTATATCATATTTTCGACACCGTAATGTTATCTTAGAGCTGATTAAAGCGAGTATGATTTTATTAAAAGTGAACACAACGAAAAATTCGGCTGACATTCATTAATACGCCCTAAAACGACATGAATAATTCAACAATTGGTATTGCTTTTTTTTATTTTTATTAAAAAATATTTATAATTGTACAATTTATAGATCTATTATCTTTCCGATACATTCTTCAATTCAACCATATCAAATTAACAGTTGAGTTTTTTTGCTTGCAACTAAATTTTGAATACAACTAAATATATGTATATTTTTATCACTTTTTGAAAAATGTATGAAAATATTGTCTTGGCTTTGAAAAATCTATATTTAGGATTAAAGATACACAGCTAAGTGGTTTACATCTATCACACATTTACTTAAAGAAAACCTTTTGTCGACTTGAATTTATTTGGTATATGTTTCCTAACAGATTAATGAATCGAGTGCAAAAGTTATATGTGAAGTTTCTTTTTTTTTATTTCCAAAGCATATTCTGTCAACATTACAAAAAGACAATAAGTAAATTATTTTACTAAACAGAGAATTTGACATATTATCATCAGAGTACTCCAGTAAGTATTCTATCTTGATATAATTAGGAGGTACAACTATTTTTATTGGGTTCGATTATGTTTTCATTATTTTATGTTTCTTTAGTCTAGTGTTGGTAATGGTTTTGTAGTCTTGTGTAGTATTTTGCGAAGAAAGTTTGAATTTCTTCTTTCACTGTTGCAATCTGTAAATCATTTCTAATAATTTCGTTTGAAACGAACCACGGCGCGTATGAAATGCTGCGAAGGACTTTCGATTGAAATCTTTCTAGAATTTCGATGTTCAAAGTCGAAGCGGCTCCCTATAGTTGGATGCCGTAGGTCCAGACTGGCTTGAGTACTGTTTTGTATAGCAGAAGTTTATTTTCAATTGTTAACTTCGATTTTCCTCCAATAAGCCGGTACATTTTCTTCCATTTTAATCCTAATTGTTTCCTCTTGGTGAATATATGTTCTTTCCATGTCAGCCTTCTATTCAAATGTATGCCAAAGTATTTGACATGGTCTTTCTGCGGTATGTATTTGTCGTTCAATGAAATAGGAGGACACGTATCTTTACGGAGAGTAAACGTGGTGTGAACTGATTTACTCTCGTTTACTATTACTACTTATTATTCTCCACGAATTTAACCAATTTTGGAGATGGTTATTTATGCAATTTTGTTGCTTCTTGATGTGTTGGTAAAATTGCTGTATCGTCTGCATACGTTGCTGTCAAAATATTTGGAGACTCTGGTAAGTCCAATGTATATAGCAGGTTTAGCGTTGGGCCTAAAACACTACCCTGTGGTACTTCTACTTTTATTACTTGCCGTGTTGACACTTCTTTTTATTGATTTTCACTTGAAATGTTATGTCTTGAAGGTAAGATTATAGCAAATTACTGTAATATTTAGGAAAAAATCCTTTCAGTTTGTGTAGAGGCCTCTTGTGCCAGACTTTATCAAATGTCTGAGCGACGTCGAAAAATATGCCTATACAGTATTGTTTATTTTCTATGGATTTTCTCGCTACTGATACTATTCTATTCACTTGTTCAATCGTGGAATGTTGACTTCTGAATTTAAATTGGTGGTCCGGGATAAGGTTTCTACCTATTATAATTGGATTTATTCTTGCTATTATGATTTTTGCATAGATTTTTGAGAGTACAGTCAATAGACTAATTGGTCTGTATGAGGTGACAAATTCATTTTTTTACCGGGTTTTGGTATTCAGATAATCTCTGCTACTTTCCATTGAGAAGGAAACTAGCAAAGACGGAAGCATGCATTAAATATTATTGTTATATATCAAATTGCTAATGTATATGTAAAGTTGAATTTTAAAAAAACAGTGCACACGACTATACTCAATATTTGCACAATTTCAGTTTGCGACCACAGGCAACATACCAACAAATTCACCTTTTTCAAAGGGCTTGCACAAATGCTAAAATTGAGCTTGCGCAGTATTTATCTCCATCGGTTCAGTGTTTTCGCTAAGCGAATTACCATTCACCTGTTCCGTCGGAGTGTCCTGCTTGATCGACGATACCTGTACCTGCAGAAATACTTCGTTGGTTTTGTTCACGCCACGCCGCCTCTTTTTGTATTCTTCGTACGATATCAACTTCTTGGCGATAGGGCTTTTCGTGGCAGCAGCAACTATGCGTTGTTCTTTGAATTTAGACACGACATCGATCCTATGTAAGTTACGTTTGACAGTTTCCAACCATCCAATCCGAGGGCGCGTCCTATGCCTGATGGCCCTTGTTATCTTCTCGTTCGTTAGGTCAATCAATACTACCTCACGAGAGCGCCTCTTTTTCCCCGCGGGATGCTGCAAAAAAAAGCAAGTATTCTTATTCACTTTTCGATGTTGCCATTTCTAAGCAATTCATAAAGGGTTTTTAGGTAAAATGAATAGCCAATAACTTTTATCTGTTCGAATAGGCTTGAACTTTATTGTATATTTCGTGTGGATACTCACTGTCCACTCTATAAATTGATTGTATATAATTATATAATATTCATTAAATATCTTTATATATATTTTTTTTTATCCTCATTATTTTGTTTTCTTATTATTTTTTCCCTTGTCTGCAATTAGTTATTGTTTTCTAAATTTTTTTTTCTTTTTCTATAAAAATATCGATTGTCGGTGGTGTCATCAAGACACAGAAAAGCAACAAGATTCCGTCGTTTCATCGCTATATGCTGCGTTTCTTTCTGCGTTTGTCGGACGGAATGCAGTCAAAATCATGTTCGTAATCGGCATAACTGACAGCATCCAGAACACGTCTTGAGCTTCTCCTTGCTTTTATAACCGGCGGTGCCAATACATTGTTCTCGACTTCATCGTCACCGGTTGTAGGCCTCTTTTTCTTTTTCTGAGCAGGTTTTCTTCGACCAAAGCAACTGGGTACATTTTGATGAATCCTATTGTCCGCCTTGTTAGCACGGGCAGGTGAATCGTCGGCAGTGGTAATCTTAACAACAGCGCCAAGTTCTAGGGTCGGTGCGTGGTTCTCCGTCTAAACGAAGTCCATCATCCCCTGAGCCTTCATACGTTTCTTCAGCGGAAGTTTACTCGCGACGTCCTTGAACCTTGCGAACGCCATGTCCTTGTCTGCGTTCACCAGAGATGGATACAAGTATGGCCTGCAATATACACAGCTAACGTAAGGACAATCGACGCTCATCTGATGCGGACAGTGCGAAGTACAGACAGTCGGATACTCGATGTTTGGTTACATTTTCACTGCCGGGTTGATGTCATTATCTGACTCGGGAACACCAATTATCTCGTTGTGGTCATCGGTTTGATAAGTGTGGTTCAGTTTAATACTGTCAATGGAAGCCTCTCTGGCAATGTAGAACTTGCTCCCGGGTAACTTTTTCACAAGTATTATCTCGCCGTTGAATCTGATGTTATCATTGGCACTGGCTTTTGAGCTCGCTTGCTTCTTGTACGAGCAGTTGACTATGTTGTCTTGTTTCGCTGCTGGCATTAACTCGTAAGAGCAATCTTCGATTATCACCGTGAGTTTGCCTGTCATGTCATCGACGTGTCTCTCCGATTCCTGTAAATTTGTAGATGGTTTAAACTTGAGGTTGGTTTATTTGTAGTAGACAACAACTCCTTGAATTGATGTGGTACCTGCAAAATTGGGAAATCAAATACACTTTATTTAGATGCTAGCTTCATCGGTTGTATGCTTTTGTTAAACGAATTACCATTTACCTGCTTAGTCGGAGTATCTTGTTGAAATACTTCTTTGGATTCGTTCACGCTATGCCTCCTCTTCTTGTACTCTTCGTCAGATAACAGTTTCTCAGTGATAAAACTTTTCGTGGCAGCAGCTACTCAATGTTGTTCCTTGAATTTCAACGTGACATCGATCTTTGACGAGTTACGTTCGACGGTTTCCAACCACCCAATCCGAGGGTGCGTCCTATGCCTGATGTTCTCTGTTATCTTCTCGTTCATTTGCTCAATCAATACTACCTCACGAGAGCGCCCCTTTTTCCCCGCGGGATGCTGCAAATTAAGCAAGTATTCTTATTTACTTTTCGATATTGCCATTTCTAAGCAATTCATAAGGGTTTTTAGGTGAAATGAATAGCCAATGACTTTTATCTGTTCGAATAGGCTTGAACTTTATTGTATATTTCGTGTGGACACTCACTGTCCACTCTATAAATTGATTGTACATAATTATATAATATTCATTAAATATCTTTATATGTATATTTTTTTTATCCTCATTATTTTGTTTTCTTATTATTTTTTCCCTTGTCTGCAATTAGTTATTGTTTTCTAAATTTTGTTTTTCTTTTTCTATAAAAATATCGATCGTCGGTGGCGTCACCACCAAGACACAGTAACAAATATACTTCATGCGGCATACAAAATTTTTGTTTTTCATTTCGCTTTTTTAATAATGCTTCGCGCATTGAATAAATTGAGGTAGGTGACTATAAATAATATACAAAACAATGGAAATAGAAATTTTTAGTATAATATCATCGTATTTACAAATCATTTATGTACACTACTGTCATTATAATCTCTCGAATAGCAACAAATCTCTGTTGTTTGCTGCTTTTCTTTCCGCAGTCAGTTTCGTGTATGTAATCGGCATAACTGAATGCAATCAAACCACATCTTTAGCTTTGCCTCACTTTCTTGATAGGTATCTGATCGATCCTCTTGTCTATCTTAAACACGTGCGCCTGAATCATCAGCAGTGATATTTACGAAATTAGTACCAAGTTCGAGGATCGGTGCATGATTCTCCGTCTATGCAAAATCCATCATCCTCTGAACCTTCATACGTTTCTTCAGCGGAAGTTTTCTGGCGACATTCTTGAACCTCGTGAGTGCCGTATCCATATCTGCACACGTTTGATATGATGGTGATGGTTGAAAGTGTGACCTGCAATTAGTAGAGCAAACGCAGGTACGATCGGCGCTCAACTGTTGAATACAGCGCGGTGTACAAATAGTCGGATACTCGATGCTTGATTCCATTTTCACTGCCGGTTTGATGTCATTATCTAACTTGGGAACAGCAATTATCTCGTTATGGTCGTCGGTTTGATAATTGTGGTTCAGTTTACCACTGTCAATGGAAGCCTCTCTGACAATGTAGAACTTGCTCCCGGGTAACTTTTTCACAAGTATTATCTCGCCGTTGAAACTGATGTTATCATTGGCAATGGCTTTTGAGCTCGCTTGCTTCTTGTACGAGCAGTTGACTATGTTGTCTTGTTTCGCTGCTGGCATTAACTCGTAAGAGCAATCTTCGATGATCACCGTGAGTTCGCCTGTCATATCATCGACGTGTCTCTCCGATTCCTGTAATTTGTAGATGGTTTAAACTTGAGGTTGGATTTATTTGTAGTAGATAACAACTGCTTGAATTGATGTGATACCTGCAAAATTGGAAAATCAAATATACTTTATTTAGATGCTTGCTTCATCGGTCGTACGCTTTTGCTATACGAATTACTATTTACCTGCTTCGTCGGAGTATCTTGTTGAAATACTTCTTTGGCTTCGTTCACGCTATGCCTCCTCTTCTTGTACTCTTCGTCAGATAACAGTTTCTCAGTGATAGAACTTTTCGTGGCAGCAGCTACTCGATGTTGTTCCTTGAATTTCAACGTGACATCGATCTTTGACGAGGTACGTTTGAGGGTTTCCAACCACCCAATCCGAGGGCGCGTCCTATGCCTGATGTTCTCTGTTATCAGCTCGTTCGTCAGGTCGATCAATACTTCGCGAGAGCGCCTCTTTCTCCCCACGAGATGCTGGAAAAAAGCAAATATTCTTATTTACTTTTGGATCTTGCCATTTCTGAGCATTTCGTATGGTTTTTAGGTGAAATGAATAGCCAATAATATTTATCTGTTCGAACAGGCTTGGAGTTTATTGTATATTTCGCATGGACAGTCATGCCCACTCTATAAATAGATTGTACATAATTATATAATGTTCGTTAAATATCTTCATACGTTTCTAGTCTTTTTTTCTTCTTCCTCCTCATTATTTTGTTTTCTTATTATTTTTTCCCTTTTTTGCTATTGGTTACTTTTTTTTACATTTTCTTTTCATTTTTTAATAAAAATATCGATCGTCGGTGGCGTCACTGTACAGTAACAAATGTGCTTCGCGCGAAATACATTTTTCTTCTTTTGCTCTCGCTTTTTTATTTTATTTACAAGACGAATAAAAACAAGCTCACGAAAATGATTGACGGTAGAATATAATTTCGCGAAAAAATTAATTCCGCGCGTTTGCACATTTTTCTCACCATTTTTCTACTTGTGTTTAAGCGTCTTCGGAAAGAGAGATAGAGAGATCAAGAGAAAAATTTAGGTGTTCGGACACCTTTGCGTTACTATATACTCGGAATAAACAGACTTTGTTATCAGTCTAAAAACGACAACTAATAATGCCAATTCACTATTTCATGCACGTTAATCAATCCAACACTGTTCTAACAAATTTTTCAACAATTTGGAAGGCCACAATAGTGCGAGTGACGCCATTTGAAAGAAATCAATAAAAAAACTCTTTTTTTGACAAATACCGATACGTACATTATAATTATACCATACCTCATTGTCGCTTAATTTATTGATTTTTTTCTTTAAGAAGGCCTTTTTTCACTTCGCAAAATGGCCATACAGATTACAACAGGCTTCCATAGGCATCCGATGTGTCTTTTGTTTGTAAACTCTACCTTATCGTAATTTCATTTATTTCTCTTATAGTTTTACGAGCGTAAACGTATCGCTTTCACTTGTCATTTTTTTTGTACAATTTTAATGAACCTGGTGACGACAATGCAATGAACAATCAATTCATGTCGAGACCGTTATATTTTTGTACGTCCATTGCGATTAGGAAAAACGCCACGTCTACGGAGCTTAAAACATCATTTTTGTTCTCTCTATAGGATTGCGACGATCACCACGGTTCAAATATACATAACACATTTGGTTGAAACATCAAATAAGAGACTCTTTTTCTTCATAAACCAAGCAACAGTCAATCGGTTATTTATCTTTACTTCATTTAAGTATAAAAATTTGGAATATTTTCACAATACTTAAAAACTATCGAGTTCCACAACACAGTTGTCAAAAGAATTAATTTACAAGTATTCACACGAAATTACACTAAAACAAGGTAAAAAACATTTAATTAATGTACAACGCATTTTGCGACAACTGAAAAAAATCATACAGTCTTTATTTAATGTATAATTGCAAATCATAATTTAACGATGATCAGACTTTCTCATGAAAAAGGACTAAAATATCAGCATTACGTATACGCAAGAATGATTAGAGGCCTGACATTATAATAAAAATCATTTGACGGAAAGAGCAGGAACAACCATTACTTTTATCGCTTTCACGCTTTACTTTTATTTCGTTTGTCAAATAAAACCGCGGTATAGAATTATTCATTCTGTTACGTATCTTCATATGTATTAAATTGTTTTCTTAATCTCTGTACTGAATTTGCTCCGTACAATTATAACATTTAGCGCGTCCCTGATGCTGAATTACGTATTTTGGCATTATTTTTTTTATTTTTTTGACAGATCGAACTATCGAACAGCTGAAAACTAGTATTATTATAAGGTATTTCACTTCAACATCTTAATGGAACAATGGATAATGGTATTCAAGAAATCACAGAGAATTTATGTATGGAGATGGGAGATGGGATGCAAAGGTAAAAAGATGAGATTGGATCATAAGCTGAGGTAATGAAGTTTTAGTGGCATCTTCGACTACCATTGATACTTGTGTTACTCTTACGACTTATACTCTAAGTTTAAAACATTGAATATCTTGTCTTGTTATTAATTATCGTTCCTTTTAGCCTTTTACATTTTCTAACAACTAAGTATACTTCATTTCTAGTTATTTCAAAGAAAACCTTTTAAAAACAGAAGACATTTAACCTGGCTTATCACATTGAGTGTCGTACTAACCGACTGTGTATATTGGAGTTTCATTCGTTATACTTGGACATCCTGCCCTGTTGCTGCTGGTCTGGTTGGCACATATATAATAAATTATATAGTCTGGTAACATAAGTATTCTTTTGCGTGCTTGCATGTACTATTGATGGCTTTAAGGAATTTCTCAACTTTGTATGTATTTCACAAACTTTCAATTCTTCATACGTTGGAATATTTTGGTTTCTAGTTATAGGCATACATTTACTTGCGCGATAATTACCCAACGCATTATTTTGACTCTATTGACGTGAAAAGAATTGAGAGTTCTTTTGTATGCGCGCGCGTGTGTGTATGAATGGGAGAAAGGAAACAAACAGTATTCTGCATCGTATTTTCATCCTAGCGACTATAAACAATTTGACTTAGTTTTCCTAGCGTATATTTTAAATTTTATTTATTTACTTTTTTGATCGGAGTATCATCATACTTTGCATTTTTGTTTGCTTTTTTTAAAGACGCCTCTTTTTCTCGCAAATTCGTATAAAGTTATCATTACATACGCTGAATATCTGCGCATCAGCGCTAATTGAACACGTCTTGGACTGTCTCGGCGTTTGTATATTTCTCGCCGTTGACTAGTTTTACTCTTTACTCTTAAAACTTTGTCATTTTTTAATAATTAATATTACTATTATTATTACTCGTTCGGATATATTTTTTTTGATTCCACGCCGAACTAACGATCCATCGGGAATATAAGCTAGGCGTTACTATCGTGTTTTTTTAAATGCTTTGTCGATTCACTCTTCTCTCTATTATTTCTTTCTATTTGGCAATCGATTACGGCTATTATTTCATTATGGCAGGTATGTGTACTTATTCATCACTGTTTTCGGTGTTTTCGTGATGCACTGATATAATGGCTCAACCAAAAATGGGGAAAGAACTGAAGGTAATTATGCTTTTTTATGTACAAAAGAGAAAAGTTTCTGCAACAAATAAAGAAGAAAAAAAAATATTAGAATTCCATCGATAATTATGGAATGTCAGTTCCGTCATATTACACATGACGAGGAAGAAAGAGCGATTATAATTTTCAATGATTCTTAGACTCTTAGCTGGAAATTCTAAAAGCTCTGTCATAAAAGCATGAGAATTAAATTAAGTGAAGAGCACTTGAACAACATTCCGACCGCTCGAAACCAAGTCCCGAGAGGAAGAAAAAAAAGATGCTCGAAATCAACGCAATGACAACAGTGCAGAATCTACAAAAGAATACTTACTGCAACGCATATCTTCCGCTAAAAATGTAGTCAAAAATTGCTTTAGCAGCGTGCCAAATAATTTCATTCTCTCAAGAAAACGGTGCGACGAAGAAAATTCTTTTCCACCACTTTATTTCCTTAGTAGATTGTAATAAGCCATTTCGCACCATTTCATTTGCAAGTTATTTCCTGCTGGGAAATACAAAGCATCATTTTAGCGATATTCTCGAGAGCGGAAGACAGAGAAAAAGTATTCAGCTTCGTTTTCGATTTGTTCTTCAAGTATATAAGTTTCATGAATAAATTTAGGATATGATAGAACAGCTGAATATCATCGTAATAATATGATAAATTTATTTACCTGCATATCCTGTTTTTCAGCCAGCTCTAATTTGGCGTTGGCGTGACAACTGGAAAAGGGGAAAAACGAATACACGTGAATTCGATACTTGTGTTTAAAGAAAACAGTTTTCGCGTTACGCAGCATGGATAATCCAAACGATAACGGGGTTATTTTTAATTCGCTCAGAGTTCGTATTATGGAAATAGATTAGAAAATAGAATAAAAATTATTCTTGCGGCGAGATTGGTATTTAGTCATTTACCACTCGAGATAGATGCAATTTTTTATTTAAAAACAAAATGAACATTTATAACTTTGTAAGACTTGTATTGAAACTTGTAAGCAAAAAAAATGATATTTCGTAAGAAACGATTTCTTGGCCTAAAATAAAGTGTACGCATTAATTTAACATGCAGTAATCGACTTGGTTACCCGTCTAAAAAAGGAAATTCGCTCTACCGAAAAAATAACAAAAAACGCATCTTTCAGACTTTCATTCACAATAAAATGAATAAAAAATATTTTCATCACAATATAAAATCAAATTTACATTATCTCACCTTACAGCAGTTGCATAATTGCAAAAAACTTCACAGTTGACCGTCGCAGTCACTTCTCAATGATACCGCAATAATCATATAAATACATGAAACCATTCGAACTGTTCTTAAAATCACGCAAACTAACTTAACTTTAAAATTTTTTTTTAAAAAGCGCGCATCAAATAAAACGAGATAGTTGAATATAAATAATATACAAAACAATAGGCATAAAACTCTTCAGCGTTGCATCATCGTATTTACAAATCTTCTGTGTACATCATCGTCATCTCTTGAAAGGCAACAAGCCTCCGTCGTTTCATCGTGTGCTGCGTTTCTTTCTGCGTTTGCCGGACGGAATGCAGTCAGACTCATGTTCGTAATCGGCATAACTGACAGCAACCAGACCACGTCTTGAGCTTCTCCTCGCTTTTTTAACCGGTGGTGCCAATACATTGTTCTCGACTTCATCGTCACCGGTTGTGGGCCTCTTTTTCTTTTTCTGAGCAGGTTTTCTTCGAGCAAAGCAACTGGGTACATTTTGATGAATCCTATTGTCCGCCTTGTTAGCACGGGCGCGTGAATCGTCGGCAGTGGTAATCTCGACAACAGCGCCAAGTTCTAGGGTCGGTGCGTGGTTCTCCGTCTGAACGAAATCCATCATCCTCTGAGCCTTCATACGTTTCTTTAGCGGAAGTTTACTCGCGACGTCCTTGAACCTTGCGAACGCCATATCCTTGTCTGCGTTCACCAGAGATGGATACAAGTATGGCCTGCAATATGCACAGCTGACGTACGGACAATCGACGCTCATCTGATGCGGACAGTGCGAAGTACAGACAGTCGGATACTCGATATTTGGTTCCATCTTCAGTGCCGGCTTGATGTCCCCGGCTAACTCGGGCAAACCTATCATCTTGTCGTCGTCGTTGTAGTTGAGTCTACTAGTGTCAACGGCAGCCTTGTTGATGATGTAGAGATTGCTGTTGGGTGCCTTTTGCTTGAGTATCACCGCGTCGCCGTCGAGAATGACATAAGCATTGTCATTGGCCTCGAAGCTCGCTTGCTCTTCGGACACGTACGAGCAGTTGACGGTATTGTCATGCTTCATTGCCGGCGAAATCTCGTACGAGCAAACTTCAACTTGCAACGCGACTTTGTCCATCGTATCGTCGACGATGCTCTCCGTCTGCTGAAAGCTCGTATACGGTTTGACCTTGAGCTCGGGCTTCTTTGTAGTGGATACCAACTGCTGCGCCGAGACACTCGCCAGAAGAGTCAGGCCATCGATGCCATCGTAATACTGGCTACTGCTTCGGCTCACAATTGGCGTGGCTGCTGCTACGGGTTCCGTCGGCGGCGAAGCGTCGACCTGCTGCTGCGCTTCCTCTTGTACTTTTGGTATTTCGTTATCAGTCTTTGGCGTTACAACTGCCGCCGGCCTGCCGGTCTCTCGGATTACCGAGCAGCCGTTCGACAAGGCACTGACTTCTTCCGATTTGCTTTCCGACGACGGGCATGTCTCTTTTTCGGAAAAGGAACGGGAAGAACGACGAGGCTGCTCCTTTTCTTCATCAACTTCAGTGGTGACCATTGGTGTTAATCTTCCGGAAGATAACGTCGCTTCATTAATGATTTTCAAGCTAGCGATCTTCTTGTTGAAATTGCGTTTGGCCTCTTCCAACCAACTGAGTCTCGTGTGTTTCTTGCGCTTGACGATCTTCGTTACCTCCTCGTCCGTCAAATCAATTAAAACTATCTCGTCTAATTGCTTACTTTTGGTTTTACTTACTGTACGCGATGGCTTTGCGTCGATATTTGACTTTAATTTAGGAATGATTGCGCTGATTTTAGTATCGTAATTATCATTAATATTACTATGAGACGGCCGTAATAATAACTCGGTATTTACAGGACGCGGCGAAGTTACTGGCGACGAATCGTTACTTGCGGAGGTAAGCGTACGTTTTCTCAGCTGTATGCGTAAAGGGATAATTTTCGTTTTAGTATAGCTCATTTGCGATGAGGGAATTTAAGTAAATTGCGAACAAAATTTCCCGGCTCGAAACTAATATTTTTGTGCTACAGCCAGCGACGTTGGTGAAATTCGATGCGATAAAGTATGTCACACGTGTCAATGAACAATTGGATCCAACTGATTTCTTTATCAGATCGCAATTTCTCGCTGGCAAGAAAACAGTTTCTCAATGAAGATAAGCAAGAATTTCGTGAAAATAAAGAGAAAAGAAGAAACACATCGAGCGATGCATCCCTCGGCAACTCTAATAATAATCGTCGCCGCTTGAATGTGGCCCAAATGTTCGAAACCTCACATTCTCGAGATGCACCCTCTCGCATGCTCGTTGATGTCAAACATGAAAATCATACGTACCCTCGGATCTCTCTCACTAGACACGCTGATGCTGCCTCTACTGCAACTGCTGCTGCTGCTACTGCTGCTACTACTGCTACTGCTACTGCTGCTGCTACTGCCGATCCCACTGTCATTGCCAGCCGTTGGCTCATCGATTTGCTGACCCCTGATATATTTGATAAATTGGTCGCAGGCTTTACGGAGGTCATACGATTGGCACAAATAGTGTTGCGTCAGTGATTCGTCGGATAGATTATTCTGCATCGATGGTAAAACTCCAAGTTCCACGAAGATTTCATTGGACCAGATGTATGGTGGTTCGAGTGTCGTGAGCGCTAAATCAACGATATTCTTACGTGCTGCAGCGTTTATATGCAGACGCTTCCACAGCCGGTAGACTAGCAGGAAACGAACGTAGGCGGTGCCGTCGAGTTCCATTTTCGACGGCGATGTTGTTATTTTTATCACTTTTCTGGAATTATAGATGATAAATGTTTGTTGGTTGGATTAGAACTGTTGCTATAAATTTAGTAATGTTCATCGTTGATAAACGATGAGATGACGAATTTGTTACTCGATTAATGGATATTCTACAAATAGACAGTGCTTGGTTTTCCTTAGATTTTTCTTAAAAGAAAAACTTGGATAAATTAAAATTAATTTTCAACGAATTTCAAGACAATTTTTTATAAAACGAATCTTTTCTCAACATCAAGTTATAGCTCCTGCATTGGAAATCAACATAACGTGGTTTGAATAATATTCAAAATCAAAGATTCCATGAAAATCATTCATAGAACAAAACTAGCAATTATTTTCATAAATACGACAAAACATTTCCAGAATATGCAATTCCAAACATTTCTGAAATTGAATTAGTTTCGCGTGCCACTAGCGAATGTAATGCTATTCTGAACTTGTATTAATGGAAACAGAAATAGCTGCATCAACTTTTAATGGAACACGAATCTTCGTATTATATCACTAATTTTAGTGGATTATCCATTTCAATATTAATCAAATAAAATTTGAATAAATACTTACGAAAAAATTGGATCTAATATGCTGCAGTAAGATTCGCCTATACCCTGGACTTTTATAAGCGTGTCTAATAAATACTCTGGCGAATCATCTGCAATGTAAATAGCGTAAAATTTGTTCGTTAGATTCACGAAAATCCGGATGACAACTATAATTTTTTGTTTCTCTTTGACAATGACATTCGCGAATTCGAGAGGATGCGCAATGTCAAATAAACACTGCGACGAATCAGCAATCAGTGTGTATAATTGCAAAGGTAACGAGCGAGCGGACAAAACAAAAGAAAATTATCGCTCACAAAATGGTAAAATCAGCAAATCAAACTGTCTCGGTCAGATGGATCGGAAAGAGAAATAAACGTGAAATGTAAACTTTACTCGCACGGAAATCGCGACTTTCCGGCAGAGCGACCAAAATTTCACGCTGCGCATGATTCCTCTATCGTTTCTGATTGGAAGCCGTCGACTCGGCAAACTGGTAAAGCGATGTATCTCCGTGGATATATAAACTCACCTAGGCAGTGGCATAGAGTCGTGAGGAGTCTCGTCGAAATGCAGCTTGGCTGTGGTTCGACTTGGCCCTTCGATGCGATCAGCTCCAGGTCGATGTAAACAGCCAGCAGGTCGGACATTTGCTCGAGGTAGACCGCACGGTTCTGATCCTGCGATAAGTAGGCGAGAAACAAATCTCTCCTGGTTAATTTGTCATTGAATGCGAGCTCGATGCTTATTGACGCTCGGACTAATTAATTGCGTATGAGCGAGCGACGACTACCGATTGACACCCGTGACGTGCTTCCAGTCGGCGACACGTGCAAGTCACGATCTTACGACCGATAAGGCTACTCTAATTACTACAGGTGTCATTAATTTATTAATTCGTAATCATATTCCAAGGACGACCGTGTCATCGAGTTTTCGTTAGCGTCGAAGGGTGATTCAAGCTAACGAGGCGGAAGACCTCCACTAATAACAATATTTACAATACAAGCTCCGATGAGTCGGCGAGAAAGAACAAGGAAGAACAAAGAAAATTCGAAATAATCCACTTGTTTATTCCGCAAACTAACCGAGAGCGCAATTTTATCGATGCGAAAAAAAGAAGAGGGATCATTCTCGACCATTACCTGTAGCTGCTCGTAACGACTGAAGCAGACGAACAGCAGCAAAGCCTCTCTGACGATCTCCTTGAGGGTTACCGCGTAGGACGATTTTTTCTGACAGTCGACGGCGCTCGAGCTGACGTTTCTATAATCAGTCCAGGATGTAAGGCACTCGAACAGCTTTGAAAAAAGCTCCCAAGTTCGCTCGTAGCTTTACCTATTGAAGAATCTGATGAGCTCGTTAAGGGTCCCTAGTCGCAATGGTATCCTAACCATCTTGCGAAACTGCTCGACCCACGGGAAGTCCTTCGCTCTGTCAGCCTGTCCGTACTGCCTCTGCTGCTGCTGCTGCTGCTGCTGCTGTTGCTGCTCTGGCGCCATCGCCGCTGCAAAACAAAAAGCCCAATCGTTTTCCTTCGCCATCGCCTAAAGGAACAGGGGAACGGCTGATTTTCACGCGTCCTTGCCGTTTAATAAGGTCGAAAACGATTCAATTCGCGGACGAAATGCCACGCGTAACATTTACCAGGGGCGATTCCACGGCGGTCGCAGTGGTTAAGCAGTGACGAGGCACCGTAATTGCGAGAAATGGGCAATCGTTCGTGAATGAAAACGCCGCATGGGAATCTTTTGGCGTGCGCGGAGCAGGAGCTTCTTTTGCGCCGAGAGTCGCGACCGACTGCTAAGAAACCATCGATTTCTACTTATGCCTGACCGTCTTCGAGACGGGAAATATATAGTGGGAGGCACAAAAAAGTCTGTCTAGCGTGTCATGCCCCGCAAGATCAATATGAGCATTGCGTCGAACAGGGCAGTTCTCTTCGTATTAATTCCGTGCGCGGGTGTATTCTGTCGTTCTGTAATGGGAAGAGACGTGTTTTGAAGTAATTGTCCGACTTTCAGTCCTTAATAATACGGTCGTTATAACAATGTTACGCGCCGATACGCAACCGCAGACCCAATTCAACGACACAGCTAAACGATGAAACATTACCAATATTGTTTCTCTATAACCAGTCAATATCATAAGTATTGCGTGTCACGCTAGTTGCATTAGTTTTCGAAACTGCATTGCTCGTCTATGAAACACTTTGCCAAATAGCGACAAGGGATTCCAATTACGCGTCAAATATATTTCGGCATCGATTGGCAATCGTGAACGCAATCTCTAGAAAAATGGTAATTAGTTGTTGCAATAAAGACGACTTCATCGATTTATGGTAAAAAGAAGGAGTGCGATGAATAAGCTTTGTTATTTGTTTATGAGTAACAATTGACGAGACGCTACCAATAATTTACATCGATTATGTTTATCGCAATAATTATCAACGAAATCCTAGATAAGTCCCTATTGTATAAAAGATAAACGATCGCAGTTCGCTTGCTGCTCGCTTTCATTCTGTTTCGTGAAACGATCCTTTCACTTTGATAATTGTACAGAGACCAGTGTGTTTTTCGACAGCAGCCACTCGGCGAATGCCGAAAATTCAAATTCTAGAGGGGCGTTTGATGATATCGAGACCGCGGCGGCGCATTAATTCACGCTGCATTGATTGCATTCAATTTCTAACGTCAATTTCGCTGTCGCATGCCGCGCCGAACTGTTTCCGAAAGCTATTTAGACAAGTTTGCCGTGCGTGGTCGTCGATGTCGAGACAAGGATTGTGTGCCGCGTGAATAGCCTTTCCTTATTGATCAGTAGATTGAATTTTTCGCTCAAGCTCAGCGGCAAAACACAGAGAGGAGTATTAATGGTTTTGTGCACTTCGTTGTAATTTACGACAGCGATGTTTCTTACGACACCTAAATAATTATTGAAATTATCAAAATGCAGTCAATGACGTTTGAAGTTATGCTAAAATGTATTTTCGTTGCAGAACTCTGTTAAAACATACTCGCGGCAAATTTCTCATTCCATTTTCTTTAATGAAAGCAGCGAACAAAGCATTGGTAATTAAAAAAATTCGCTCAACATTTTCACAGTAAAAAAATCAATACGTGATAAGCCGTTGCTGCTTTCAACTCCATAGACATATACCTATATCAATCTATTCAATAGCAGAAACTAACTTCATAGTAATAATTTCGAAGCCATACGTTCACGCCAATGGCGTGCGGTATTTTAACGACTTCCCAAATGAAGTCGAACTCTCAACTCCATAACGTCCACGCGCACAAATTACTCAGCTGCTAATGTATGTCGAAAGCATGTCAAACGTCGTTAGGTGGGCTTAGCAGTTCGAGTTTCAATTGCAAAAACGCGCAGCCACGATTTTCGCGTTGTCGGCTTCTGATCGTTGACAAATACGATTGACGCAAAAACATGGCAGCTCGGTGAATAATCCAAACGCGCAAAATCGCAATAAGCCGAGCAAAGAAACGCGACGAATTCAACGAGACGTCGTTTGCACGCTGCGGTGCGATGCCGCGCCAGCACGGATCGCAAGAGCTCATGAATGGAGTTTTTTGAAAATCCAAAATGGCCGATCCCGCTCTCTCTTCTCGTAACGTACTTTCGCCCTCGGACAGACGCCGGACAAGCCGAGCGGTCTTGTTTAGAGGGTCCAGTCAGCGGTCTGCGACACTTTGAGCGTCGCATTCTTCGGCCGAGCGATCGCCGCTGATGGAGGCGCGAGACCCAGCGACGCACGAGCGATCGCAGCCGCGAGCAGAAGAGGACGACGAGCTCGCACGTGCTTTGCGCAATGACTCGGCGACGTTCGATCGCCGCCGCGACGTCGACGCCCGAGGCAAACCCAGCACAATTTCTTGCCCCAGACAGACCAACGAGAAAGCAAAAAGAAAGAAGGAAGGAAAAACAGCGCGAGGCGATACTTACGTGTGCACGTCGTCGTTCCGCACATGTGCGCGCGCGTATATTCGCCTTGGCTAAACGAACGCGCGTGGCTTCACTTGCCAACGGAAAGAAAGACGAGCCGCAGCGCGCAATGTTTCCCGAGCGAGCCGACAACGAGGACTGCGGCCGGAAAAGCCGACATCAGTGAGCAAGAGCAATGCAGGTGCTGTAGACAGCGAGGGAGCGAGCGAAGGAGAGAGAGAGAGAGAGAGAGAGAGAAGGGGCGGGCTCTTCTCTCTGCCTGGCTGTCGGAAAAGCGAGGGCTTTTAAAACTATTGATCCGTCTACAGGCAGGTTGGCGGCCCTACAGCGCGCGCCTGGTAATTTTCCGTGCGCACGCCGCGCGCCGAGGATTAGGGTGACCCGGCCGCAGCACGCGCGGCAGGGACGCGTCCAGGAGTCGCCGTCGCGCTCGGCCGATCTCCGTTTTCGATCACTCCGAGCAGCGGCCGCCCGATTCACCGACGTGAAAACATTGGCAATCCCGTGGGAGGCTGCCTGCGCCGCGCGCTCGCGATACACCGGCTGGCGCAACGACCGCGGAAATAACGATACGCGCATAATTTCCCATTAATTTGTTGGCGCGATGGATTAATTCGCTACGGGACGTCAGCTTGCTACTAAAAGTAACGGGGCAATAGCATAGATATGTAGGCACCTTAGTAGCCGAAGCATATATATGCTGCTTACTTTTGATAAACTCCGTTGGACATTAGGTTAGCCGAGGTAACGTTTAGACGGGAAAACCTATATAATCGGATTGTTGGCCTCCCCGGGAGCTACTTAATTTCCAAAGAGGCGAGCTATTATACACGCACAGTATCGGATTTACCAGCCAGCGCATGTTCGAAAAAGGTAGTAAATTGCCGTCGCACGCACACACACACACACAAACACCCGTCCTGCTGAGAGAGCAGTCGAAGCGACACAGTGTCTAAAGTTAAAAATACTCGTAGCGCAAGTTTTATAATAGAAACGCTATGTACAGGCTTAATTTAACGCGGTTGTCCGGAGAATCTATGCCTTAGCGCGTTTCACCACGTTTTTTTCACTTTTTTCTTTCGAGAGGCACGTGGCAATCTTTTCGACGGAATTTCTTAGTGGCGCACGCACACGATACCCGACCAGTACTTTGTGTAATGAACGATGGCGAAGGCGATCGTAATAAGCAATCGCGGCGCTTCGGCCACGGGACTTGTGTCTTTTCGCGCTGCCGACAAGTCGCAAATGACAGGCTTTCGCCGGAATCGATCGCAATTGCCGGCCGCGCTTGTCCCGCGCGCGTCAAACAATCGCCGTCGCCCAATCGAATTGTATACCCCGCGAAAATTGGCAATAGCGCTGCGTTTCAATATGCCACACAAGTCATATTATCGAGCTTTCCGTCGGCGAGAGCGCGGAAACGCCGGCAAAGCGTCTCGCGTGTGCGCAAAACTGTCACGCGAGGAAAATTGAGTTACAGCAACGAGTTTAAAGAAACCATTGAAGTGCGCGATAAGTGTCGGTAATGGCTTCGCAGAGGCTTCTTTTTCGAGCCCAAACGCGCGTTTCTTTTACAATAGCGTAATTACACTGACACTCCACGTCAAAGTGTTGCCTTACAAACATCGACATTAGCCTTTCAACGGGTCGCCCCAACCAAAATATTTTCCACGCGTGCGGCGAACAAGCGTGAGAATTACTCATTTTTGTTGTCGCTGCGTCTTTTCTTTTCTTCTACTTTTATTTTCGGATCGAAAGGGAAATGGATATTCTTGAGATAAGGTAAATATTTATATTCTTTTTATCAGCCATCTAAATATAATCGCGGGTTGAATTCTAAGTCTGGTTTCAATCTTGATTTCAGTGAAAAATAATTTTCCTTTTGTTCGACAAATTACAATTCGCAAGCAAAAACAATGCGAGTTTTACGGGTTATTGCCGTCAAAATTTCGAAAATATATTTCTATTGAAAATTGATACTCGACTGAGATGTTCGGTTCGTGTTTAGAAATTGAAAAAGTCGCGCGACTCCATTTTTCGAGACAAAACAACGAAATTTTCAATACAATAAAAAGTAATGCTTGTGAGCGTTGATTCAGTCGCTCGTACCCGTATAATTTTCCTTTATATTAAGCGGACGTGCCTTCTTCTGCCGTCGCGTGAATTTTCAAAAAAATTAACCATTCATAAAGATTCAATTATCGTGCTTTCATTTCGCAAATTAACGCGCGTATACCGGTAAATCCGCGACATCGAATAACTATTTAAATGACACATATGACAACGCTGTTTAACATTATATAAGCGATAGCAAATCACAGATACCCTTACGGTCTTCTTCAATCAAAGCATTCAATTATGCTGCGCAATGAATTTCAAAATTCAATTGGCTCAGACGCATCAACGTCAATTAGAAAGCCCACTACTTCGACTCGAGCAGAAAGGGCTTCGTGAATGAGAGTTTTCGCCTTTGCGTTCGGCTTGTTAATTCACACATTTATATTAAGTTTCTTAAATTTTACTGTCTACGACTTCGCAAGAAGTCATTTCGAAACTACTGTTCGTATTAACTACAACTAGCAAATCGGTCACTATGACATTCAAGATACCACTAATGTTAATGAGACTTGAATAATAATACATACGATCAAAGTATAGAGAGAGAGGGAGAGAGAGCGGGAGGGAGGGAGGGAGAGAGAAAGAGAGAAAGACAAGACCAATGAACCCTATCAGATAATCATTTATCAGTAGAAATGCGATTGACCATGCCAGTACTTGAACATGCACAAACTCTTTCACTCTCGATAAAGCGACCTATTATACAGTCGCCATATGTCTCGATACACCAAAGAGACAGCGTGAGAGTGGACGATAACGCTAATTATGTAAAATTTAATTATTACAGAATGCGACCAAAAGAAAGTCATCGCTTCACATGCTCTTCTTTACGACGCACGTTCAACTCTGCCATTGTATAGCCTAAAGCAAGCAGCGCGCGAATTTTCTTCTTTCTAAGATCTACCCATACATATAAGCACACAGACGCTTCGATGTGACGACGCAAGTGAAAGCGAAAACTCAAAATGAACTACTCGCGTAGTCTTTTTTCACGCGCGTCGATTGAGTGTTTTTATTATTCAACCGCGTGTGTCTGCGGTGTAAAATTTCTTTAAAAAACTGACGCAGCATCCCAAGAAATAAGAGCCGATGCGCATGAGAGAGAGAGAGAGAGAGAGAGAGAGAGAGAGAGAGAGAGAGAGAAGGAAGGAAGCGCGCGGAAAAAGGGGAGAGTATGGAGCTGTGTCAACAAAAGCCTCTCTCTCATACTGGAGGGAGAGAGAGAGAGAGAGCGGCGCGTCGCAATCGATCGGGCCTATGCTGCTGCCTTGCGCGCGCGGCCCATAGGCCGCTTTTTCTCTACCGTTATTTTTGTGGCGCACGAGATCTTCGATATGCATGCATAGATGTACCTGGAACAGAGATGACGCGTTTGCAGCTCATCTGCTCACGATGTTCAACGACGATGTAAAAAACAAAATGCACCCACTTGACACATCTAGAAGTGAGAGAATGAAAAAGCAAAGCACGCGCACTTTCGGCTCGTAAACTTTGCTGTTTTGAAAACACGCACACACTATACTACGATGTGCAGCCAATGGGATTCACTTGCCGGTAGCGGCAGCTACAACAAGCTCCGCTCTCGACTACGGCCATATTGACACTGACGCGCAGCGAACGACTGTCGAGCGAACGAGAGAAGACACACACTCACTCTCTCTCTCTCTCTCTCTCTCTCTCTCTTTCTCTCGTTGCCGGGGTGGGGTTAGGTTGGGAAGAGCAGGAGCTCTGTCACCGCGCACGCGCCCCAGACTTCATTTGCAATCGAATGCTACGCACGTGCGCAAAGTGATTTGCTTCGTTATTTTTTTGCAAGCAAGGGTGCAGAGAGTTGACAAATTGAGTAATTTTGTTCTTTTCCTTTTTATGGCGGTTCAAGGTTATTTTTTTGATAGAGTAGGTGCGTTATTTATCAAAGATAGGGATGCTGGATGGAGAAGGTCGATAGGCTCGTGGATAAGTATCGATTGTTACGAGTTTAGCGTTTTTAGGTGTTAGAAGTGATTAACGCTAAACCTACCGACATATATACCTATTTCTACCGAATGGCGGTCAAATTACCGCTTTTGAAATCAACAATCTTTTTTAGTCTTTTTTAGTTGATTGTAATTTAGCATAAACAATAAACACAAAATAATTATCATATAATTAAAAAACATTTATTTTTCGGGCTTTAGGAGCCATAGCTCAACTTTAGGAGCGGTCATTTGACCGCTCTGGTAGGTTTAGTGTTAATGAGATTTTCAATTGGTTGAAAAGCGATGTATGACTTGCGCTCTAATTTTCGCACCGTGCGTAAATATTGACGAGCGAGAAAAACGTTAGAAATACCATACTCTTGCACATGTAATTTCGATCCTTGTGCAAATGAATTACATTTTGTGTTCTGCGTGAAACGATCATTGTAATTTACATTGGCAGTTTGTTATGTGTTTGTAAAAGTAAAATTATTGCATGCGATGCGAAGATGAAATTCATTATAGAGTTTCTCGCCAATGATTTTTTAGGAGCAACGTTGCTATTACTAGTACCCACCCATTATTCGATACTTTTATTTTATTTTATTGAATACGCTTCGGTAATGTATAAGCAAAATTGTGAATGCAATACTAATCCAAAGAACCTAACGTAGTCAATAATACTCGTTTCGTTGTATAAAAATATCAAGTCTAATTGAATGACAATATTATAAAAGATACCGAGTACTAGTACAATCAGCTTTGTGATAAGGCTAATTACTGGCCATGAAACAAACGAGAATAAAAGTTTTTTTTTCACTCAGTTGTGTTGCTAAATTGTGATACAGTATACATTGAACAATTTGATTTATTGCAGCCTTTTTAAACTGTGCACAGCTTAAATTGCTGATAACTGATCCATGGATATCTTAAGCTGACGGGAATAGGGATACTCTCCCTATCAAGTGAAATTTCGACGATTTTTACAGATTGACAACTGGTTTGTTTCATATATAGCGTTTCAAATTTTTTTTTCATAAGTTTGAGGAAAAAATGAGGAAAAAAATAATTACGACAATCTTTATATGTACATCAACCTTGAATTTCTTGCACGCAAAAGAAACATTAAGTACATTCAAATTAACACTCTAGTTTAAAATAGTACTGTAAAATAAATTGTTAGATATAAGACGCATAAAAATGTTATCTGCAGATCGCTAGTGATTTGAAGGTAAGCATATTAAAAAATCCGCAGAAAAGAACGCTTTATTCGCATTTTTTTACATTATACTAAATCAACCGGAATTTCACGTAGTTTCATCCACTAATTTCTACCTTATTTTAGATCGAATAAAAGAAAATTGCTCTTGACAAATGGTTATCCGATCTGGGAACTAGAATATATAGCGAACCTATTTTCTGTCTAGCATTTTTTCCCTGCGAGAGAAAATTTAGCACGTGAAAATCTTGGAATTCTCTCGTGCTCAGTGGAATATATGAATTCGTGATAAAAAGCCGACTTATTACGGTAAATGAGTTTCGAGTATACTGAAAAGTAAAGGTCGATGAGAAAGCTTTAATGTTGAATGGTATGAACAAGAAGAGGAATCGACCTTTCAAGAATCCATCATACCCCGCTAAAGTTGTACAAAAAGAAATTTCATTGGTGATTGATGGACTTGAAAAATAACGATCGACGCGTGTGCCGTAGTTGCAATCTGTGCACTAAACACCCCCCCCCTATCCGCCCCCCAGATCAATTCCAACATGTTCGGGAGAAACAACAGCGACGGGCACTACAGATTATTGCAAACAATGCTGAACCTCACGCCACTGTCGCTAGTTCAGCGCACAGACAGGCTCTCGTGAGCCGAAGACGGAGCGCATGCGCGAGGGAAAGTGAAGAGCGGGAGATGCGAGGCGATGCAGCATGTATAATGCGCAGCGTTGCAGGCTGCCAGTGCTCGAGGGGAGCGCGCACTGGAGTCTGCGCAGCAGACGGATGCACCCCCGACGATCGCCGCTCGACAGCCGACACACACGCAACCGCTGATTGACGCGCGCGCGCTTCTCTCGCTTTCTTCGACAGTCGAACGAAATGTTCGACCGACGCTATCGGCCATCGCCACTCGCCAGCTCTCGCGATATCAAAGCTTCCGTCGCGCCCCGCGTTCTTTCGCCGATGCCGATCGACGCTCGGTCGCCAGATTCGACGGATGCCGAATCGGCGCGACGGACTTGCAGCGATGCATACCTCGGTCGGGCTTTGCTCGCGCTGGATAAGATAAACGTGCAGCAGAACCCAAGGGACTCGGAGCGTTCGCTCGCCGTGACTGACGTTATCTTCGCGCGCGTGCCAACTTCGAAGGGGCGGTGGTTCTCGCCGCGACTCGAGCGACCGTTCGCGCGGCATAGTGGTCCCCGGTCGTGACGTTCGAGTCGCGTACAGGTGGCGCATCGCGTGAACCGCGCCGTTGCACTAGCTATATCGCGCGTCCCACGTGCTAGACCGACAGGCTACAGCGTACGCGGCTGCGCTCTCAACTCAACGTAGATGTATAGCCCATAGCAATTCGTAGCACTGCCCCCCCCCTCCTCCCCCATCGCCGAGCTACATTACAGTTTCCTCGTGCGTACGCGCCATCTATTTGTCAATTATTGGTTACTAGGCGCAGCAGAGCGCCCTCTGCGCCGATCAACTTCGATGCGTCCGCCTCGAATATATATATCAAAACTCGTGCTTTCCAGTTCGACAAAACCGTTTTCGATACTCCGTGCGCAAAGTGCGTCTTTCCCGCACGCTCGCACTTTCCACACGTCGTATAAAAAAATACGATAGGGCACATGTTCGGGAAAGAGGTTCTGCTTCGCTCGGGCATAAACGCCACACGAGCAAAAATCTACTTTCCCGCACTCGTATCGTAATGTACTATTTCGCAATGAGCACTCAAAAGCATCTTAGCATCTCGCGAATTAAACTTCCACGCTGTAGTCAGGATTCTTCTCAGCATTCTGCGCTACGAGACCCTTGCTCAAATAAAAGCGAGTGCGTTTAATACTCGCCGCGAGATTCATAATAAGCAAGACTTTGGAGTAACTCGCGGCGTGCTTTGAAAACGTGATATATGCAGATGCGCGATCGTGGCCATCCTCGTCCAATGAAAATACATTCAGCCGGCTTGGTACAACTGGTTTGTTTACCGTTTCTTCTATTCTTCGTTCGTTTATCGCGTACTGTGCGGAACGAGCCGAGAGGTAACGCAAAGCGACGAAATACACGAACTTTATACTTATCCAAAAATTAATGGACACGGAGCAGCAACGCGCGCTTAAAAGTCAAGTATCCAAGCCGCTAAAGCTGATAGAGAGGTTGGGGCACGTCGCAATCCCCTTCAGATTCGTTCGAACGACGTCGCTAGATAAGAGAGCGTTCCGCCAGTTTAGCCGACGAGATTAATTAACTCTCTGCCTTGCATTTACGTTGGTGTTGCGCAATAGCATCCCCCCCTCTCTCTCTTTCTCTCTCTTTTATTGCCAATGCTTTTTGCATTTTCCCCACGGAAATTTATCGGACAGACGGTGCCGTTAAACCGCGGCGTTTCGCTCCTCTGAAAACAAATGAGTTTGGCTTGACTTTTGCAAGCTTTATTTTTCTTTCAACATTTAAACTCTCAGCTCAGCTCAGCTAGCATATTCAAAATACAAAGGGTGACCCCGAGCAAGTGCCTAGCGTTAGCAATGCACGCGCGATCCTGTCAAGTTCAAACGTCAAATTTACATTCATCAATGGAGGAGGGATCGCACGTCACTGGTCAAAGGGATTCGAGCTTTATCTGTCTCGTGTTCTATTCGAGCCCCACATTTGATGCCAATCGAAGTATGCTTGTAGGTGAGCGGAGGTGTTGGTTGAAACGATGAATTCAAAAGTTTCCTTCATAATGCCAAAAGCATCACTTTTACAATTTCCGTAATTATATTAATTCAAATTAAATTCCTCCATCAATCAGTTTCATGAACAGAAACCAACTATAACAATAGCACTCTTAAATAAATCCTAAATATCAACGGGCTTGAAAGAATTATGCCCATTACTATATTTCTAACGCAGGAACGTCCTTTAAAAAAGCCGCCCGATGCAAAACTGCATGAAACGTTTGGCAAAAAAAGAAAAAAGAAACAAGAAGAGAGAGAGAAAGAGAGAGAGAGAAAGTGCGCATTCATCTATTTTCATTCGTAAAAAAGCCGCTAGTTTGCAGAACAAAGGCGAGAAAAAAACAGCTCCAACTAGCAGAAATATCATTGACCAAAAAAAATGGAAAAGAGAGACAGAACGAGAGAGAGGAGAAGAGGGAAACGAGAAGAAGGGTTTTACGAGCGGCTCTCAAAGGACTAAACCAGCACTCATGTGGGTGTAGATACGACTACCAGGTTAATCCAATCGAGATAAGTAGGTTAGCCCTCGAGGCGAACATATAATCAGCACTTTCCAACAGCGAAGAAAAGCGTTAATTCACTAGACCGGAAGATAAATTCAGCGGTTATTTTCAAGCCATCATCAGACTTATCTTTTAATACAAGCCTTTCAAATTCAATGTTTGACGGAAGATCTAATTGTAATTGACCACTGCT